ACCTCAGAAAAACAAGCAAAACAAAGTAAATGTCAATCATGAATTAAATATCCAGCCCAACTTTTATTTATTTATTTTGGTGGTGCATGGGGAGTGAACCCAAGGCCTTGTGCACGCAAAGCAAGCGCTCTACCAACTGAGCTATATCCCCAGCCCCCAGCCCAAATTACTTTCAGAAAAGAAAGTGAAATAAAATTCACTCAGATGAAGTAAAATTAAAGAATTTATTGGACTGGGGTTGTAGCTCAGTTGGTGGAGCATTTGCCTTGCATATGTGAAGCACTGAGTTCAATCCCCAGCACCACATAAAAACAAATACATAAAATAAATGTATTGTGTCTGTCTACAACTAAAAAAAAAATTTTAAAAAGAATTTGTTACTTGTTTTTGTCCTGTGATTGTAAGTTTGTCTACATCTCCTCTCAGATCTGACTGTAAAGATTGAGGGAAATTCTGATAGAAGATGCAGACAAATCTATAATCAAAGGACCCAGTTACTGCATTCCTGGAGAACAAAATTTTGTTTACAAAAAACACACCAGTTTTCACAGGAGTCTTATTCATACTAGCCATAAACTGGAATCAGCCCAACTGTCCCTTCAATCTGGGGTGAAACACACACAGCTACCCTGGAACACTACAAGCAGCGAACATGGAAGAGGGGGTGTGTTTATAGAAGCACAATATTAGGTAGAGATCCTTGATGGGATAGCACTGTCGTGTCTTTTAAAATTTTTTTTTCAGTTGTTGATGGACCTTTATTTTATTCATTCATTTATATGTGGTGCTAAGAATCAAACCCAGTGCCTCACATACATGAGGCCCATGTTCTACCACTAAGCCACAACCTCAGCCTGTCGATCTTATCTTGATCATGGTCCTGGATACACAAACCTACATGTCTAAATATGACACAGAACTAAATATCCATACCAGTGAGTATAGCTTGCAAAACTTGAAGGAGACAGATTGATTGCAATCAATGTCTGTATCCTGATTGAAATATCACATACACATAGTTATCAAAGATGTTGCCATTATGGAAAACTGGGTAAAGGATTTTTCTATTATTTATTTATTTATCTGCATGTAAATCTACAGTCATTTTCAATAAAAATTTCAATTAAAAATATTCAGCACCAAACAAGATAAAATGTATAATGTATAGCATTCAGTAAAAAATTATAAGGCATGAAAAGAAGAAAAAATAAGGCCCACTTAATCAGGAAAAAAATCAGTCAATAAAAACAGACCCAGAAATCATAAAAATGGCAAACAAGATAGAGCATTAAAAGACTTCAACAAGTGGAAGAAAGGTGGTGCATATTTAAGTAAAAATAGAAATATGTAAAGGCAAACTCAACTTACAGAAGAAAACAGTGGATATAATGAAAAATACACTGGATGTTTTTAATAATAGGTCACATGTTGCAGAAGAAAACTCACAAACTTGAATATACAGCAGTAAAAACCATAAATGAAAGAAAAAATGGGAATCTCCCCCTAACCACAAGGACTTCAGTGAGCTGAGGGATAACTTGTAATTTTGTGTTCTCAAAGAAGCAAGGGAGAAAGGAATCTCTGGGGGGGGGGGGGACCTGAAAATAGCGACTCTGGAGTCTGAGGAGGAGGATTGAAGTTTGAAGCCAACCTCAGCAACTTAGCAAGACCCTGTCAAAAAAGGACTGGGAGTGTGGCTCAGTGGTACAGCATCCTGGGTTCTATCCACAATATCAAAAGAAGAACAAAAAACTGAAAACACCAAATCACATCATAATTGCTTTAAATTAGTGACAGAACAAAAACAGTAGGCAAAAAATAAATAAACACGTAGAGGAATAAAGAGAAGTGCAACAGTAGATTTCTCACTGCAGATAACGTGAGCATGCTGGCCCGGGAAAGACATCCTTAGAGTATGGGAAAAATCCTCTGTTTTCCAGGGAAAGTCAGATGAAGGCAAAGCAAAGACTCCACGAGTAAAACAGTTGGAAGCATAACCCAGCAACTAGCACCAACTATAAGAAGTTCTAGCTGTTTAGGCAGAAGAAATGGTACCAGATGAAAATGTGGAGCCATATCAAGGATGCCATCCATGGCAATATTGACATTTTGGGCGATAATTTCATGTGGGGGCCATCTTACACACTGGAGGATGTTCAGTAACATAAATAGCCTCCATTCACCATGACCCCAAAGAAGCCCCACTCCAGGTACAATAGCCAAAATTCTCTCCTGCACTGCCGGACACCCCCAGAGGCGGTCACCCTGGCTGAGAATCACTGCCTTAGATGAATGTTTCTTTTGTCCTTTTCCATCTCTACCCTTTTGAGCTACATGCTCTGAGAGCAGTCCTCAGTTCAGGCACCTAGGTCACCAGTCCACCGCTCAGCTAGGCCTGTGCTATTCAGCCTAACTACGACTATTTTTTTTTTTTTAATGAAGACTTTTTTAGAGCAATTTTAGGTTAACATGAAAATCAATCAGTTACCATAACACCCCCTTCCCTGTACGTGAATAGCTCCCCCCACTGTCGACATCCACAGTGATCCATCTGGGACAGCGGATGAACCTGTGACCTTCATCACCTGAGGTCTACAGTTCACATTCAGAGTCACTCTTGGTAGTGTGCATTCTTCCTCCTGACAAACATGACATGTGCCTGCCGTTGAAGCATCATGCAAAATACCTTCATTGCCCTAAAAATCCTGTGTTCTACGTTGCCTTCTTTAACTCAAGTTTTTAAACTTCAGTTATTACCATTATAAAGTTCAATCTTTGTGTGTGTGTGAGGGAGGGGTCTTGGGGATTGTTCTACCCCTGAGCTTTGTCCCTTATCCCAATATCTTTTTAAATTGTTTCATAACTGTTCCTTCTTTTTTTAAATATTTATTTTTTTAGTTGTAGTTGGTCACATACTTTTATTTTACTTATTTATTTTTTATGTGTTGCTGAGGATCAAACCCAGGGCCTCACATGTGCTAGGCAAGCGTTCTACCGCTGAGCCACAAGCCCAGACCCTCCTTCTTTGCTTTTTGCAATAACATATGCACTTATTTCTTGGCAGATCTCTCTAGAGCTTGTTCTGGCACTGTGTTAACTTTGTGCTATTCCTCCAGTGTTGGGTCATTACTGGACACTTATCTCTGTAACGGAGATGTCCTGTCAATCAGCTCAAGCATGGTGCCTGCCATGCCTGTTGCACCACGTGCTGTATTTGGTAGACTGGAGGGGCAGAATGCACTGCTAGTATGTGACCTCAGCTGGTGTGCATGTGGACACAGTTCTTCCTGTCACCTCTTCTCTTCTGACTCCACCACTACACTCCTGCATCTGGGAACACAAACACTCTTATTGCTGCCCAGCTGGTCCAAGGAGCCCTGGAGATGCATCACCCTCCCGGCTTCTCCAGCTCCCATCCCCTTACCTTTCGACTGCCCAGCCCGCCCTTGCTCTCCTGCCCATGCTCTTAATCTCCCCTTCACCTCCTCTGGGGGGCTTCAGCTCTTCCTGTTTGCAGTCTCCTCCTTTCAGCATCCCCTTCATCTGACAGGTAGGCTCATGTGCTTCCCCAGTCCTGGATGTTTTTTTGGCATCTTGGCATTCTTCTTTCACCCTTCTTCACTACTTAGATGCCTCTGGCTAAATCTAACAGGGCCTCTAACAGTCCCACATTCAGCAGACACTGTGGACCATTAGCTGCACTCTTCTCTGACTCTTTCCCATTCACACCCCCACCCCCCACACACACACTGGCTTTAGGTTCCCATGAAGTCACTTGCCTCTTAATCCTTGGTATGCCATTTGCTATTGGCTGCATATGGCAAGAAGAGCTCAGTTTGCAGGCAAGAATGACAGAAAATGAGGCGTTCACACGTGGGACTAGCCATGCTGATAAAATCAAGTTTTTCTGGACCCCAGCAGGAGTTGAAATTGGCAGTTATGGGAAAGCCAATTCAGGTTCCACCTCTTGGTAAAGCTGGCCTGAACTCAGATCCTGCTTCCCACCCTACCCAAGTGGGTGGGACACTGAACTTTTCCAAACCTGTTTCCTCATATGTAAAATGGGGCCACAGTACCTACCTGATAGGACACTTACAGAATTAAATTAGTGGATACCTGAAAAACAGGGAGAACAGTGCCTGGCATATGTTCAGGGGTAAAGTTAGAAACTATTATGATGCCAAAAAGGCCAGGGGTGAGGGATGTTTTATTAGAATCAAGAATCTGGATCTTTGTCCTTTGCAACTTACCACCTTAGTGGCTCACAACCAACCCCACCGTCTCCCCTCCCTTGCTCCTTCCTCCACCAGAAGGAGGCTCTGAAGTCTTACCGGGTCACCTGGGCAGTCCCCTTACTAAGGCTGTTCCTAGTTCTATCTTATAGCCTAAGCCTACCTTGAATCCGCCCTTCCTACATTTCTGTGCCCACCGCCCGGCTAACAGCCTCCACTCCAGAACCCCGAAACTCCATCCTAAATGAATGGGCTTCTAATTTCAAACAAAATCACCCAAAGAACAGGTCAAATTACGGGAGTCGGGGCGCTTCCGTAGTCGGGGAAGCCTTGCCGACCGACGCTGCCTCGCGCAGAGCCTGCGGCTGTCACTCCCGACGTGGCACCGTGCGCCCGGCACTTCCTTCCCACCGAAGTTTGCGACGCGAGTGAAGCTACATGGCCCTGCTCTCAGGAGCCTGCTCAGCCGGGAGGCTCCCAGGCCGGGGCTCCTCCCGGCTCGAGCCGCCTCTCTCGAGGCCCACACTTGGGCCCCACCTAACGGAGCGGCGGTCACCGCCTCCAGAGGCGGGCGGCGCTGCGGCGGGAGCCCAAGGCCTGGTGAGGCCACAGCACTCTCCGGCGCTGGTGGTGTTCGAGGGCCCGCCCATATCCGTCACCTGACCCCGATCAGCCAATCGGCCCGCCCGCCCTGCCCCAGCCCCTCAGCAGCGCGTGGATTGGCCAGTACAGACGCGCCCCGTCCGGCGGCCCCGCCTTCCCCGGCGCCCGGAGCGCTCGTCTGCGCCTCGGGATCGGCGTGCTGCTGGATGGAGACGGTCCCGACGCCGAGGAGGGCTGCGCGGGGACGGGCGATGAGTCCACCCGGCTGCCTCCGAGAGAAGAGTCCGCAGGAGAGGTGCGCGCGGTGAGGGGCAGCAGAGGAAGCGCCGGTGCCCCCCTCCAGGAAGCCTTCGAGGCGCTGCGGTGCCAGGGCTCGACAGGCCAGGGTCACTCCCGGGGGTCACCGCAGAGGATGGAGGGAGGGGCCGCCAGCTGGAGATGTGGTCATTCTGGGGGTTGGGGTGCCTCGGCCATCTGGAGCTCACTCTCCAGGTGGAGGGTCAGGGTTCTCTTGCCCGCGTGTTTTCAGGGGAGGCCTGAGTTAGGCTCTTGCCACTGGAGTCCTAGGCCAGAGGTCTGGCTCTGGGGGACCAAGTCATCAGGTCTGGCCAATTGCCCCCAAAAACAAACTGGAAAAGTTATGATGAAGACCAGTAAAGGAGCTTTCATCTGTGTAGCTACACTGGGAAGACAAGGGGACCTTAGCCCAGGCTCTCAGGGGCTGGCAATGACTTCTGGTTTTTTTGGAAAGGGGAATGGGGCAAAGGTTGGGGGTTTGTGTAGCTGAACGCATTGCACAGCTGCCACAGCAGGTGATTTTGTCAAGCCCTGTCTGGTCGATCATTATCTCAGGGTTTAGGATTTGATGGGTCTTTGTCAGGATAAGAAAATTGCTCTGGCTGGGGCTGTATCTCGGTGGTAGAGCGCCCACCTGGCCCGTGTGAGGCACTGGATTGGAGCCTCAGCACCACATAAAAATAAATAAAGACACTGTGTCCATGTACAACTAATATATATATTTAAAAAAAAAGAAACAAAGTAAAGAAAATTGCTCTTGCCTTGGGCACAGTTTTGACTCATGTCATAGATGTTTATCCTTCAGACCTCTTGTTTCAGGAATCCCAGGTGACTGAAGAGAATGGCTTTGGAGAACTTAGGGAGCGGAAAAGGAAAGGCAAAATGGAGTTATATCAGCAACCAGGCCCTCCTTCAACAGTGCTTTAGGGAATATCTGAGCAGATTATCTGTAAGATACTAATTTGAGATACAAGGTTTAAATTCGTTCAGCCAAGCAACAGATTGAAAAGCTGCAGTCACATTCAGCAAACTAGCAAACTTGGGGCACTTTGGGATACTTACAGAAAAGAACACACTTAAGAGTGTGTGGAAAGTCCCTGCAATACAGGGAGACTCCTGAGATTCTCAATCTAACACTCAGTTGATCAAGGATGACTAGTCCAGCTTTCCAAAGCCCCAAAGCCTATTGGATGATTTCACACAGTTTATAGAAAAGGTGGTGTGTGAAAAACTAATGCACATTCAGCCAGGCACAGTGGTACTGTAATCCAAAGCACTTGGAAAGCTGAGGCAGGAGGATGGCAAGTTTGAGACCAGCCTCGGCACGTTAGTGAGACCCTGTTTCAAAATAAGCTGGGGATGTAGTCAAGTAATATAATTACTAGTATCAGGCAGGATTCTCTACTATATGGATTTTTGAAAATTTCTGGTACTGGTAAAAAGATGCACAGATAATCTTAGGGATCTTTCCGAGGACTTGGATTTTCTTTGGCATTTATTTTATCATCTTACAAAGCAAGACCATGCCGTGTGGCAGCTGTTGTCTTTGGCACTGGTGATAGAGCAGGAAGAAACAGACGAAACCCACAGGCTCTGGAAGGTGCACTTTTATTACTCGGTTGAAATGGACACTAAACAAGGAACACATGTCATGTGTGGGTCACATGACAAGCACTGATGCCAGGAAGGAAGTCCAGGCTGGCCTACAGTTTTAAATACCGCTGTTGAACTCACCCAGAAGGACAAGTTAAAGCAGACACTTAAAAATATGAAGATGGGGTGGGGCCAGGGTCATTGTAATTCAAAGAAAACTGAAAGTACAAGCCCTGCCCCAGGGGAGGAGGCCCTGTGGGGGTGGGGGAGAAGCCCAGCAAGGAGAGTGTGGCAGGAAATGGGCACCCAGATTCCCTGGAGTCCAGAGACCATCCCATGATAAAGAGAAACTACTGGTGGAGTTAAAAAAGCAAATGGGAAGATTCCTGGGGAATGTGCAGTCAGCTGGGTGATCCAGGCCCACAGACTTTTAATCTTGCCAGCCAGTAGTGGGAAACTGTGAACATCTGAATGGATGGTCTATTGATATAAAGAAGTTGGAAACTGTAGATTACTAGATATTATCCTTGCATGTTCCATCAGCAAGGGGGATGTGGAGGTCCTCTGGAGCAGTTTGTGGAAGACTGTTGGAGTATGCAGGGGAATCCACTGCCCTGGACATTATTTGCTTCTACTGACCTAGTCCCCCAAGAGCAGCTGCTTACCTCCTTTTCCTAACCTGGTATGTCTTCCTTTTCTTCAGGAAAATTTACATGGACTATAATGCAACCACTCCCCTGGAGCCAGAAGTTATCCAGGTCATGACTGAGGCCATGTGGGAAGCCTGGGGGAACCCTAGCAGCCCCTACACAGCAGGTGATTCTAGAAGAGGCACCGGGCTTGGGCAGGGGTGGGGTGGAGCAGAGGCCTCCTAAGGGGCACTCACCCCAGTGATGGCTTTGTTTGCAAAAGATTTTCTGTCTAGCTCTCGATCTTTAGCTGCATTTTTTTTCTGAAAAGTTCAGCTTTGTAAGTGGAGCCTTGTTGAAGCCACAGCCTTCACCTTTGCTGTTCACTGTCACACGCTCTCCTTTGCTTTTTCTCACATAAAAAAGAGGTCTCATCAGGAGCTATTGGCAATGCCAGTGTCTACTAAAATCCTTTCACATACCTTACAGAATTTGCAAAATATGTCTTTTAAATCATTAAGAGCATATAGAATCCCGGCCTTTTTTAAAAATGAAAGTCACTTGGGCTGGGGATGTAACTTTGTGATCGAGCACTTGGGGCGGGAGTGCAGGGAGTTGCTCTAAATTTTGTTACTTTTGTTACATGTTACAATTATGAATATTCTATTTCTTTCTGATTTTTTTTTCTGTAGAGCTTTAAATTGGAGATTTTGGAAAGTAATTTGCTTCAAGTCAGTGGTTACCTGGCAGCATTACATTGTGTTTTCATTCAGACTAGCCTTTTGTAGCTAACATTTATTGATAACTATCTTTAGCCTGGTGCAGTGTCACGCCTATAATCCCGGTGGCTTGGGAGGCTGAGGCAGGAGGATCATGAGTTCAAAGCCAGCCTCAGCAAAAGCAAGGCACTAAGCAACTCAGTGAGACCCTGTCTCTAAATAAAAGACAAAATAGGGCTAGTGACGTGGCTTAGTGGTCAAATGCCCCTGAGACCAGTTCCTGGTACCCCCAGCCAAAAAAAAAAAAAAAAAAAGAGAAACCATCTTCCCTGGATTATGATGAACTAAAATAACTCTTCAAACAGGATATCGCCTAGCCTCACAGTTCAGAAATGCCTGTGGGCAGCTTCAGGGGGACCCAGTGCTTCTATGCCTTTTGCTTATTCAAGTTTTACTGCAACTTAGTAACTAAAAGCTTCTTCAAATCAGATACTAGTAATTTATTAACTTGTTTGTTGGCTAATCTGGACATTGCCTTGTGTCTAACCTCTCCTTTGATAAAATTGAACTTTCTGAAGCATTAAAGTTGAGAATATGGAAAATGATTAAATGCTAATAAAAGAAGGAGTTTGGGAAGCTCTCAGGGAGAGTATTCTTAGCCTGAATAATATATGCTGTAGACTGTTAGGTTGCTTCAACAGCTTTTGTTTCCACAAGTTAATAAAAAGTGGATTTTAGCCCACTTTCTGTTGATATTCAGGTAGAAATGCAAAGAGAAGGAGAAGAAAGGAAAAATTACTTTATCATAGACTGCTTCCGTTTTCACAATCTCTGGATTCAAGATCTTTGTGGGCAATTTAGGGAAGCACTGAGCACGTGTGGTAAGCTTTGTAGCACCAAGACATGTACCACAGCCTCACAGTAACTGGGTGTGACCTCTCTTCATCAGTTGAGACCTGATTTTGAAGCATGGTGCTGCCCAGAGTGGACTTCTGGGCCCTGTTGAAGTGAGGTGTGGGCTGTATCCATGACCTAGAAGAATTATATTCGCACACAGTTCAAGTGAAAAAAAGCATGTGTAAACACATTATCAGCATGATTTCATTGTTTCCCTTTCCCCACCAAAGAAAAATCAGTGTCTGAGCAAGTGTGGAAATTATAGTATGTAGTTTTGCTGTAAGAAATAAACACCCAAAATAACAGCAGCCTATACAGCTCGCAGTTTATTTCTCACACAGTCTGGTCCCATGTAGAGCTCCCTCATTAGGGGTTGGCTCCTCCTTTCTTACACCTCTTCCATCCTCCATATGCACTTCTTGTTGTTGCTGTTGCTGTTGTTGTACTGGGGTTCAAACCCAGGGCCTTGTGCCTGCTAGGCATCAACATGCATCTCGACTCTTAAGGTCAAGATGGCTGCTCCAGCTCAAGCCATCGTGTCAACAGTTCTGCCTGTCAGAAGGAGAGAAAGAGGAGGATAAAGGTATCCCCGAGTCCTTCAAGGACACTTCTAGAAATAGCATGTGACCACTTTGCCCAGAAATTGGTCGCATGGCCACATGTAATTGTTATGTGAGTTGGGAATTGTGTTCTTAATTCTGGGCAGCCACGTGCCAGCTGGAAAAATGGGCCATCCACCTGGTTGGTTGGGGCCTGGGTCATGAGGATGGTGGGCAGCCAGTAGAGATGAGGTGCTCATGTGTTGGATACTCAGGTGTTAATACCTGCACAGCACTTGTCATCTAAATTTATCCACAACTGACACACATAGTGTGATGAGCAGCTTTGCAGTACCAACACAGAGGGAGGCACCTCTTCAGGCTCTGAAGGAAACTGTTAACCTTTTAAGGCCCAAACTGGGTCCTTGCTAACACCCCTCTTTCCTGCCTTCCTGTTCCTGCCCTAAAATGGTAACAAGCATGTGCTTCCGTCTGCTGTGCTCTGCTCCTGCATCTCCGTCACCTGTGACTGCTCTTCTAAGCAAAGCCCTTAGACTGTGGGTGACAGCTGGAAGGAAGCCTTGAGTTGACAGAGTGAGTGTGCTCAGGCTGCTTTGGCTAGCATGCTAGTGAGGACTGTGAGGTGGGCGCCTTTATTATCCCAGGTTTACAGTTGAGGTCCCTGAGCAGTACGTGGACATATGGCAGACCCCGTATGGAACCCAGCTCTTGCAAGTTGAGTCCTGGGCCTTTCCCACCACAACCACCCTTACTACAGTCAGACGCCCTGACAGCACTCCCTGGGGACAGCACTCCCTGGGGCTCCGCAGTCAGGGAGCTCAGACCTGCCTGCAGCAGCAACCTTCCAGGAGCAAGGAGCAGGGTGGACCCTCCCACTTTGAAGTCTGCCATATGCTCTTCAGCCAGCTCTTGGGGGGAAGTGGGATGCCTCTGGTGGGGAGGACTAGAGGGACACTCCAAGGGGAGCCAAGAGCATGTGCCAGACAGGAGGCCTGCCCGCATCCGTGGACAGTTCAGAGTGAAGACCCTGTTAATCCTCACACTTCACATTGAAATCTCTGCAGTAGAGTTAAGGAGTGTGAGAATTGCTTTGTAAGTTCATCTTGGCTTTTTATATTTCTATTTTTATGGTGTTTTCTGTTGTATAGTTTTTAATAGTGCCTGCTGAACTTGTTTTTGCAATTAAGACTAGCTCGTTGGAGTTTGAGGGCTGCGGCTCAGCTGACTGAGAATGGTCCCTGAAGTTCTCAGCACTCCTCCAGAGCCCCCCTTCTCTGCCACAGGAAGCATGGCTCCGGCCCCCCTGTCCAGGGAACCTGGGCAGTAGCTGGATGCACAGCCTGTGTGGAAGTAGATGCCCTTATCACACACGAGGCTGCCCTGCATATTTGATTTAACGTTGTATGTGGAATCATGAGTTCTGTTTTTGCTTATTTTTGTTGTTTTGCAGCATGATCTTAAGCAAATTATTCCACCCTTTCATTCTCCTGTCTTGATGAACGGGAAGCCAGGCAGATGGCCACAGCTTCCCCTGCCCTCTAGCATCCGGTAAGAAGAAAGCCGTGTCATAGGGAGCGTGGAGTTCCCAGGTGTGCCCTGTATTTGTCTCTGGCTCTAAATTCCTTAGACCCCAGTGGTTGCCACTGGTTGCTAGTGTTTTCCTGCTGCCCCCTTGCCCAGGCACTGCTCGGCAGTAGCACCCTGTGACCACACAGAGGACCTCTTTCCTCCTCGGTCACCCACTCAGGTCTCTTGCTTCTTTGTGTGTGGTGGTTCTGTTGAATGTGTTGATCAGACTTGGGGCTACAATGGTAATGAACTTCCTTTTTGGTTTCTCAAGGTAAAAAGGCCAAGGATATTATCAATGCAGCTCGGGAAAGCCTTGCGAACATGATAGGTGGCAAGCCTCAAGACATCGTCTTCACTTCTGGGGGCACTGAGGTAATGTTTTTGTTTTGTTTTTATTGGTTGTTCAAAACATTACAAAGCTCTTGACATATCATATTTCATACATTAGATTCAAGTGGGTTTTGATGACCCACCCTCTTAGCCATAAGTGGCAATAGAATAGAGAGCAGTTTGCTCTGGGTTTATCTTATGTTTGGTTTGTTTGGTTTTTTAGGAAGGGTTGTGCTTGGTGTTGATGTCTTACAAATAAGCTTGACATAATCAGTGAGCATTTACCCTATAAGTAACTTCCAGTGGCTGTTGGGTGTTTGTAGTACAAAGTGTAAAGTGGCTTGCTTTGTCTTGCTGCTGCTCCAGAGGGCCCCCTTGGCTTTGCCCTGGAGTCACACTCCTGTGAGTCCTGCTGAAGTTGTTTGCCTTATTGAGTTTGAGGTTTGGCGCATCCAATGGAACTTGTTTTCACATTGATAAAGACCTTCCAGGACCCTGCAGAGAACATCCGGCATGGCCTCTGCTCAGTTTCTTACTGAAAGAAAGAGGCAACAGCTGTCCACATAGAAAATCCACAAGAATCTACAGCTCGATGATCAGAATTAATGCCAAGCTTTTAAATCCAAATATCAATTGAATTTTTATATGCCAGCAGCAAAGAGGTATTTACTAGACATGAAAAATACCGAGTACTTAGGAAATCTAGTAAAAAAAGAACCAGGAAAGTTAGAATATTACTAAGAGCCTTCAAAGAAGTTCTGAATAAAGGGGAGTGCATCACGTCATAGCCTGAAGACTCAGTGTTATTATAAACATTTCCATTCTTTCCAAATTAATCTATAGCTTCAGTACAACCTCAGGTGAAATTCTGACTCCTTTTTGGTGAAATCTCACAAACTAATGTATATAAAAATACAAAAGAGTGGTAATTGGGAGTTCTGGAGATTAAGAACACAGTAGGAGGTCTTGCTCTAGGTGGAATAAGGACCCAATTGTGACGATTTGTCAAGCTGTTAGGTGAAAATTAGTATCTTTGTGCTGGATTTCTCAAATGAACTACAGACAGTGTCAGCCTGAAGTCAGTTCTGTAGAAAGCTGTCATAATTAAGGCAGGGTATTCTTCAGGCAAGGCACAGTGGGTCTGAACATCGTCATGCAGGTGTGGACACTTGCCATCCAACGAGGGTGGCCATCTGTCCTGCTTGCTCAGGGCAGTCCCAGGATAGCTATTTCTGGCACTTGCAGCAGTGCCCTCTCACTCCTCAGTTCTATGATAGGTAGTGAGGTCATCAGCGTGACTGACGAAGACAGCTCAGGAAAAGAAGAAGATCTCCTCATTGAACACTACTGGGCGACACAATCACAGAGGAAAGGCCACTGGACTTCTGCTTCAAAACAGGTAGAAAAAATAGCTCTAGGTGGAATAAGGACCAATTGTGAAGATTTGTCAAGCTTTTAGGTGAAAATTAGTATCTTTGTGCTGGGTTTCTCAAATGAACCACAGACAGTGTCAACCTAAAGGAAAATATTGACCAATTCTATCACAGAAACAACAAAATAAACTTTGGTTCATTCAAGAACACTTTGAAGAAAGTGAAAAGACAGCTGGGCGGCTCAGGGAAACATCTCCACGGGAGCTGGCAGAGGACTGGCCAGCATCCACGGAGCAGGACCTCATGCGCCGGTAGAAAGCCCAGCTGGAAAATGGGCAAGAATCTGGACTATGCACTCCCTAGAGGACCTTGGTGACATCTGCACATGGAGCAGTCCTCGGCCCCAAGGGTGACCTCTGTGAGAACATAGGAGAACAGAGCCTCTGCTCGCCCACTAGGAGGACAGTCCTCTGATGCCGAGTGTTGATGGGGAATGCAGCTGCAGGAGTGTGGACTGAGGGCCACTGTGAGCCACAGGTGTTACCGTAAGGGGGCAGGCATGAGTGTCCTCCCAGCCAGAGTTCACACAGAGGCTCACACCCTGGAAAACAAGGCAGTGAGCCAGGACACGAGGACGAGGACGCTTGTAGCAGTGCTGTCCGTGACCGCCGGAAACTCTTCTGAATCAGAAAGCACGCCCGGTCGGGCGGGGTGATAGCACAGGCTCTGCGGCAGTGTGGACGAATCTTCAGGTGCTGAGGAAATCAAATGAGTGTCTACTGCAGAGCCGGGCCTCAGGGAGCAAAGGGCATCTGAGGCTGCCACCTGGGGCCTGGGCACTGTGACTCAACCCCTGGCCTGGATTCCCTGGCACACCAGGAGGAGCCACCTGGGCCTCAGCTGCCGAGGGGGCCCCAGGTCTCCATCTGGAGTGATGTGGTCACATCCCTTGTGCATTTTTCGATGTGACTCACTGTTTGAACAGCTCACTGATGTGCTCTGGGTGCTCACTTCGGCCAGGTTTCTTGGGGTGGCAGGAGTGTGCCTGGCCTAGGTGGAGTCCTGGGCCTCAGCCTGGCATCCCCCTGAGGTAGATGGGGTGCGGGGCTCAGGACACCACCATTATTTGATTCACCCTCTGGATCTCTGGCCTTCGAGTCATCAAGGACCACTTTACATGGGATTACAGGGCCAATGCAGCCACTTAGAGCCTTGAAGACTCTTCTTTCTGGACCCAGGGCTGCTGTGTTGGGTGTCAGTGTCCTCTGCAGGGGACCTGGGCTAAGGAGCCACCTGGTGCCTCGTCATCCCAGCCATGTCATCACTGTGTGTAGTTGGAGGCCGCTCCTCTGGTGGAAGCCTGGGCGCATCCTTGGCTCTCCCCAGGTGTGGCTGTGGAGCTGCAGTGGCCTTCAGAGTCTCGGGGGCACTGCCTGGTAAGGTGCCAGGGACTGCAAGGTGCAGTGTCTGATAAGGGTCTGCTGTGGGGTTTCTTTTCTGGAACTTGAATAGATTGAATTTCTAAAGGACCAGAAGCTTCTGTTCCCTTCCTATGAAGGTCAAAAGAAGCCAGGCGATTCCGTTTCAGGGTGCTCTGACAGGAGGGAAGGTGCCAGGAGGAGCAAGGCGCTGAGTCCCGTGGCAGCCTCGGGGGGTGCGCCTAGGGGAGGCCTTCCCAGGTGCGGGCAGCATCTCTGATACTCAGATGTTTTCATTACACTGTCCTTTACAGACTTTTTTTTGGAGGGGGGGTACCTTTTCTGCTACATTTAACAATAAGAATTAAAAAAGAAAAAACGTTCCCCCACCACACTCCCTCCTACCGTCATCCACGTCCTCTCCCCGCGGGAGACCAGCATTTCTCTTGTACCCTACAGAGAGAGTCTGCATTATAAAGCCAAGAAGCAAAGCACCTTTGACTATTCTTCTCATTTTGCCTTTTGAAAGATTTTTTTTTTTGCAAATGGATCTGTGTTTCCCCTTTTCTAGGAATCATAGAGCACTGTACGTAATGCCATCCACCATTTTTATTACCAAGTACATTTGAGAACTTTCATTATCAGCACAGAGAGCTTTTCTGATGTTTTAATGCTACGTGTTCCATCAAGTACATGTGTGTGATTTATTGAACAGGTCCCCTTGGTGGTAGACGTTCAAGGCTTTTCAAGGTTTTGCTGTTACAGTGCTACTTTTGATGACTTTTATATATGTAGCTAGCTGTAGAAGAAAGCCCCAGAGGCAGAATCGTTGCATTGCTGGGCTCGTTTGATAGCAAAGCCAGTGGCCCTGTATGGAGGCTGTGCTACTCAGACTTCATCAGCAGATTCTGCCTGAGCAGCTCTTCTGACAGCTTTATAAAATTACAAAATTCAAGCTGGGCACGGTGGCGCACACCTGTAATCCCAGCTGCTCAGGAGGCTGAGGCAGGAGGATCATAAGTTCAAAGCCAGCCTCAGCAATTTAGTGAGGCTGTAAGCAACTCAATGAGACCCTGTCTCAAAATAAAATATAAAAAAGGGCTGGGTATGTGGCCCAGTGGTTAAGCACCTCTGGGTTCAATTGCTACCAAAAAAAAAATTACAAAATTTATCATGTTGCTGAACAACAAAACAGACATGCCAACTCTAAATGAATTCTCAAGTTTTTGCAAGTTTGGAACCCATAAATCTTGCAAAAGCTACAGCTCAGGAGGTTGTTGTAGTAGTTTGAAGCTGTTTTTTTTTTTTTATTATTTTTAAATATTAGACACACAAGAACAATAACAAGTGGGAGAGATTGTTACCCTCACTCTTCCCTGAGGACAGCGTTTATAAGTGCTTTTTCTGCTCTCACTCTCTGCAGTCGAATAATCTCGTCATCCACTCCATGGTGAAGTGCTTCCAGGAAAGCCAGACCCCGCCTGGGGCCGTGGTGGAGCAGCACAGCCCTGAGGAAGGGGCCAGGCCCCACTTTGTCACTTGCACCGTGGAGCACGACTCGATCCGCCTGCCCCTGGAGCACCTGGTGGAAGGACAGGTGGCTGGTAGGTGAACCCCATGGCCTGGCCCACCCTGCCACGCTGGTGGGGTGGGACACAGCAGAGCACAAACTGCCTTCTTGGTTTGGAAGACGATGCTCCGCTGTGTGAGCTGCCGCACTTTATTTACTCATCAGGATGAGCACGGTCCATCCGTTGGCCGCTTTTTGGCTATTATTTATAATGCTGCTACGAGCGTTGGTATAGAAGTTACGAGTTTCATCTTTGAGGTGGCATCTCACTGTGTTGCCCATGCTGGTCCTGAATTCCTGGGTTCACACAGTCTTTCTTCCTTGGCCTCCCAGGTAGATGGACTCCAGGAGTGTCCACCATGCTCGACTGTAGAAATTATGTGAACATTGTGCTTACTTCTCTTGGATTATGTCAAGGAGCAGAATTGCTGGGTCATATGGTAATGATATCTGACAAGTTCTGAAGTCCTTCTAACTAGCCCTGACGTTTCCCATCAGCAGCAAGTGGGGATCTGAGTTCCCCACCCTTGCCAACATTTGTTATCGACTGTCCTATTGGTGACACTCCCTGACGACCAGTGTCGAGAATCTTCTCAGGTCTTATTTGTATATGTCTTCGTTGAAGGAAAGTCTATTCAGATCCTTGCCCATATTTTAATTGGATTACGTTTTTTGAGTTATAAGAATTTTTCCTATATACTTAACACATGTCCCTTATCAGATACATGAGTTGCACATTGTTTTGGTATTCATCATGTTTTTCTCCTTTCTCTTCATGTTTTCCTTTGAAGAATGGAAGTTTTAAATTGTGATCTAATTGTGGGGGGGGGGAGGTGTTCCCTGTGTTGTATCTGAGAAGGCTCTGCCTCACACCTACGTCTCTGATGCATCTTAAGTAACTTTGTGTGAGGTCATTTCACAAATGCCCTTCATCAGGCTGAAGAAGTTCCCTTCCTCTCTCGGTTGGTTGGGTGCTTTTATCATGGAGGTGTTGAATTTTATCAAATGCGTTCCCTGCATTTATGAAAATGATCACGTGGGCTTTGTTTGTCCCTCTGTTAATAATGGTGTATCACGTCGGTTCATCTTTGGGTGTTAGACCAGTCTTGGATTCCTGCCATGAATCACATTTTGTCTTGGTATGTAACCCTTTTCTTGTTTCTAGATTTAACTTAGAATGGCTCCAGGTTTGTTTTTCTTTTCTTTTTTTTTTAAATATTTCTTTAGTTGTAGATATTGTAAATATTTCTTTAGATGGACACATTATTTATTTATTTCTTATGTGGTGCTGAGGATGAGAACCCAGTGCCTCACGCATGCGAGGCAAGTGCTCAACCACTGAATTCCAGGTATTTTGTCAAGGATTTTTCTTTATCAGTATCTGTAAGTATTGATCTGTAGTTTTCTTTCCTTATGATGTCTTTGACTAGTTTGGTGTTGGGGTAAAATCCGTCCTCATAGAATGAATTGGGAAGTATTCCCTCCTCCTCTGTTTTGGAGAGAGTTTGTGAAGATGCATTTCTTTTTCCTTAAATGTCTGGTAGAATTCACCAGCAGCATCTCCTGGGCTTGGACTTCTCTTTGTGGAAGATCTTTACCTTGCTGACTCCTCTCTCACCTTGTTCCAGGTCTGCCTAGACTTTCTGTGTCCCCAGCAGCCCTTCTCAGATACTTGTGTCCATGCCACTTGTTACCTGGTCTGTTGGTATACAGTTGATGGAATATTCTCATTGCTTTCTTTTTTTAAATATTTTTTTAGTTGTTAATAGACTTTTATTTTATTTATTTATATGCAATGTGAGAGTGCTCGCTTCGGCAGCACATATACTATATGCAATGTGAGAATTGAACCCAGTGCCTCACACATGCTAGGCAAGCGCTCTGCCACTGAGCTACGACCCCGCCCCTCTATTCTCTATTTTATTAGTGTCTACCTTAATCCTTAATATTTCCTTCTATTTGTTTTAGGTTTAGGTTTCTCTTCTTTTTCCAGTGTCTTAAGATGAAAAGTTATTCTTTCATCTCAAAGTTTTTTCTGATTTCTCTTGTGAATTCTTTGACCCATGAGCCATTTAGGACAGTGTTGTTTAATTTTCATGTGTTTTGAGTTTCTAAGATTTTTTTTCTGTGTTGATTTTTAATTTTATTCCATGAAGGATAGAAAATACACTTTACGATTTTAACTTTGAATGGAGACCCTCCTGGGCAGTGGTCACCTGGCCCGCACTGGTCTGCTCCTGCTGTCCGTCTTCTGAGAGCACTGCCAGAACGTCAGCCTTGTCCTGGATGTGGGTCAGCCTGGGGGGCCTTCCCAGGAGGGAGAAGCTGGCGAACAAGGACCCCTGCGCGTGACTCTCCGTGGACAGCAGAGAGCCGATTCCCGGTGCAGGCCGACACCCCTGCCTTCCTGTGGATGACGTGCCTCGTTCACACTCACTGGCACCGTCAGTGCAGTGACCCACCCTACAGCAGGGTCCCTGCTGTCTCCTAGGTGCCGGCTGCTCTCTCTCTTCCCCCTTTACTGCTTTCTGTTGCACTGGTTGACTGTTTTAATTCCTTAAATGCTTTTTTATTTTTCAGTTTTCAGTTATTTTCCCAGTGGTTGCTGCAGGGCTCACTGTATGCACATTAACTGACAGTATCAGCTTTCTACCAGCCTCATTCCAAGGAGACACAGAAACGTCACCTTATGGTAGTTCTATCCCTCCTCCTCTATTTCTTTATAACCGTGCATATTGCGTCATGTACGTCACAAACCCAGCGTTGCACTGTCACAATCATTACTTTACTTCATTCCTTTTAAGAAAGCTAAGGGAAAAGAGAGCAGGTCTGTAGATAGTTCTATAGCCGTCGTCACGTATTCTCATGGTCTCCTCTGTTACCCGGACCTGAGTTATAATCTGCTGTCCTTCCTTTAACCCAACAGTTCTGCTCCCCCATGTTCTGTGTTTTATAATTGTCCTCTCTTGGAGTTCCATCAATGTAAACATCGGCCTTTTGTTTTATACAGTGGCTTTGAAATTCAGATAAGAGAGGAAAGGGCTGGGTGTGGTGGTATACACCTGTAACCCCAGCGACTTGGGAGGCTGAGGCAGGAGGATTGCAAGTCCAAGTCACGGGATTACAGGCATGTGCCACTGGCCCAGCAGAAGCTCGTGTTTTGAAAGCATGATTTCTAATGCCCAAAGGTTCCAAGACGAGGCTTAAGGCAGTGATGAAAACTGAGCCTAGCCGTGGATTAATCCATTTGGTGGGTTAATTTGGACTCTTGGTGGTAACTACAGGCAGATGGGGCATGGCTGGAGGAAGGTGGTCACTGGGACATGCCTTTGGGGATGATGTATTGTCCCTGGCCCTCCCTCTCTCTCCCTGTCTCCCAGGGGCCATGAGCGAACAGCTTTCCTCCACCACACCCTTCCACCCTGATGTTCCTCCTCATCTCAACCCAGAGCAATAGCGTCGGTCAACCGTGGACTAAAGTCGACTTTTCCTCCTCTAGTTGTTCTTGTGGGGTATCTTGTCTCGGTGATGGAGAGCCGGCGGCACAGGCAGTCTTGTGTTCCACAGTTTCTGTGGCTGTGTTCACTTTTTCTTCCTTTTTTTCTGATGTTCGTGGTGTAATCAACCCGTCTTCGAGTTCCCTGGTTATTTTTCTGCCAGTTACACGGATCTGCTCTTGAACCCCTCTGGTGCGTCTTTGTCAGCTGCCGCACTGCTCAGCTGCCGAGTTCCCACAGCTTCTCTCAGGATGTGGGCCTGGTCTTGCCCTTCTCTGGCTGGTGAGACATTGCCTGCACTGGTTTCCACTTCCTCAAGCATGGGCGCAGGCGGTTTCTGTTCCTTCCCTCCTCTCTCGCCTGCGTCCCCACACCCTGCTGTTTGTTGGAGACCGAGTACTATAGGTCACATGTTAGGCGGCTCTGGATGCTCGCTCCCGTTGTCACTCCTGTTGCTGGTGTGGCTCAGTGAGCTTCCTGCAAAGTCCTCTTCCCCACACCGTGCAGTTACTGCTTCACAGCTCAGGCCCAGCCCTGGGCAGGGGCACAGCCATCCTAGACTTTTTTTTTTTGGTACCAGGGATTGAACTCAGGGGCACTCGACCACTGAGCCCATCCCCAGCCCTATTTTGTATTTTATTTAGAGACAGGGTCTCACTGAGTTGTTTACTGCCTCACTATTGCTGAGGCTGGCTTTGAACTCGCAATCTGCCTGCCTCAGGCTCCTGAGCAGCTGATTTCACATGCGTGTGCCACCGCACCTGGCCCCCAGCCATTTTTCACTTTTTAGTTTGTGACAGGGCTTCACTAAAGGCCTTGTAGCTGAGGCTGGTCTCAAACTTGTGATCCTCTTGCCTCAGCCTCCAAAGTTTCAGGGTTACAGGTGTGCACCACTGCACCTGGCTGCAATTTTGATCCTTTGTAGTCTTTGAAATTTGTGTTGGCACTGGGAGGGCTTTTAGCTCTGTTTCCTAGTCTGTCAGGTCGTCTAGTTGGCCTGTGGCTTAGCTTGTGCTGCCAGGAGCTACCACCCTTCCCTCGTAATTTCTTACCAGCCGAGTCTGTTGATTTCAGAGAACCTTAGACTCGAGCGTCTCCACAGCCGACAGTGGCTCTTATTCCTTCTTTTTAGCTGTCTGAACTTTGACAATAAGTGACTTTTATAACTTTGGAAATCATGCAGCCTTCATGATGGTCACCCTTGGTACTGTGCTCTGTACTTCAGAGGTCACCTTCGTCCCGGTGTCCCAGGTGAACGGGCAGGCAGAGGTTGACGACATCCTGGCAGCTGTCCGCCCAACCACGTGCCTTGTGACCATCATGCTGGCCAATAATGAGACTGGCGTTGTCATGGTGAGCCACCCACTCCCCTCCTAAGGGAGTCCCGGGGGAAGGTGCCCAGGCCGATGGTGTTCTCCTGCGTCTAGGCTTGGCCATTCTTTCATTTCACAACTGTCTGTGCTCCTCGACTCACTTCTTTCTCTGGTCTCTGTTGTCTCAAAGCCCCATACTCAGCTGTCTGCCTCCCCCTGCAGCCTGTGCCTGAAATCAGCCAGCGCATCAAAGCCCTGAACCAGAGGCGGGCAGCTTCCGGCCTGCCGCGCATTCTGGTGCACACGGATGCTGCCCAGGCGCTGGGGAAAAGACGCGTGGACGTCGAGGACCTAGGTGTGGACTTCCTGACGATCGTGGGGCACAAGGTACGGCTGAGGCCGCCCCCTCTCCTGGGGGAGGTTCCCTGTTGATTTAGAGGCCCACCGTGCGGCAGAGCCCACAGCACTGTGTGTGGGTTATTCACTTGCTGTGACGAGCAGCTCATGGTCTCCGTCCTCAGGGATTTTAAGAAGGGAGTGCCATCTTCCCCTAAGATGCCATTTGGCAAGTGCCATGACACAGGTATCCCAGCCTGTGGGAGCAGGGGCAGGAGGTAGCAGCTCTGAGGTCTTCATGCGCCCTCATGTAGGACTCCCAGCTCAGATGTGGGGCTGGAGACCCTGCAGCTTTCTCTAATCCGATTAAAATGTGGCTGCTGCCCACGAAGGTTCACCTCGGCATTCTTGTCTTTGAGGTGGAGCGTGGGGAAGAGTTCATAGTGAAGGCCCTGGGGGTCTTGTCTGCCCAGCGCTGACGAGGACCTGAAGCGCTGCTGTCCTCCCCAGAGCAGTGCGTACGCAGCCAAACAGGGCATTTTCAACCTGAAGCCTCTTACTTGAAGATGCGGAGTCCTGTGCAGGGAAAGCCTGTGGTGATCTCCAGTTCCAGTTGCTAGTCTCCTTTTACAAACTCTGGTGTGAAGTGCAGGGAGATCCACCCTGCCTTTCAGGCTGGGGCTCTGCCCTGTCCCCAAAGGCATGTTAGAAGTGGTGGCAGCACAGCCACGGGGCCACCACAAAGCCACAGGGCCACCACGAAGCCACAGGACGGTGCACGCCCTGGGTGGTGCTCACTGGGTGAAAGACTGCCTTTTCCTTCCAGTTCTACGGCCCCAGGATCGGTGCACTTTACGTCCGAGGGCTGGGTAAACTGACCCCGCTGCACCCTATGCTGTTTGGAGGTGGACAGGAGCGCAACTTCAGGCCAGGGTAAGGTAGGAGGTCGGCCACATCTCCGAGCTGCTGCTGTGCCTTCGTCCGTAGAGCAGTGGCATTTTGCCACGTCTCTGTCTCTTGGAAGCTCTGCTCTAGCACTGTCCACGTCACTGTGGGATCCGGGTGGCGGTAGTCACCGACTGGTACTTGGAGCACTGCTCAGGGATGATTCAGAGAACATGAAGGAAGTCTCTCCTCTCTTTTCCTTTTTTATTTTTTGGTTCTGGGGATTGAACCTGGGGTGCTCTACCACTGAGCTACATCCCCAGGTCTTTTTACTTTTATTTTATTTGAGAGAGGGCCTCCTAAGTTGCTGACCTTTGCCTCAAAGTTGCGACCCCCTTGCCTCAGCTTCCTGAGTTCTGGCATCCTAGGCAGGCACCACCAAGCCCAGCTCTTTCTCCCAGCTGCTTCAAAGCATCCACTTCCCCTTGTTATCTTGGCCCAGCCACTAAGGAGACGCTGCCTGGCCCTTGTGGATGGGAAGTGCGGCTCCTCTCCTCACTGTGGGGATTGGGTTAGCGGGCCACAAAGAGGTGCCCTGGTTTCCTGGCTGGTGGCTGCTGTGTCTGATTATGTTTGGTGACGTTGTACCAGGGAATCAGTTGGTGCCAGCACACACTTCGTTAGAAGCTTCATAACGAGAGAGAAAGAGAACAACGTGATGGGTTCCCTGGGCTTCCTTTTTGCCTCGTGTATCCCACACTTAGAGCTGAAAAGCTGGCAGCAGTGATGACAGAAGAAACATGCCCCCTCTAGGTCTGCTTTCTAGAAAGAAGAGAAAACTGAAACCGTGCCTGTTTCACTCTAGCCAAGCATCACAGAGAAACCTGCCCTCCCCAGCTCACACTAGCAGAGTGTGTGAGGAAGCCAGACTGCCACTCACACTGCCGAGCCAAGAAGCCCCCAGCCCACAGTGTGTCGGGGAGGGCCGGCAGGGAGCCAGGATCTGACCCCTCCCACCAGTAACGAGGCCCTTTCTCTGTGGTGCTGGAGAGACAGCGTGGGACCCTGGACCTCCACCCATACATCAGTAGCAAGTGTCTTTTGTCTGGGTGTCAGCACAGGCCACGCAAAGGACCTGGGCCTCCACCTCTACCCAGCAGTGACAGGCAGCCACTCCTTCCCTTGACTAGCAGAGTCTCAAAATGAAATTGAGACTCTTTCATATATAGAAATGTCCAGGTTTCATTTGAAAATCATTCATCATGCCAAGAACCAGAAAGATCTTAAATTGTACGAAAAGACAATGGATAGATTCCTCCACTGAGATGACAAAAATATTAGAATCACCCAACAAATATTTATAGCAGACACAGTAAAAATGCTCCAGTGAGAAATCATGGACACCCTTGAGCAGATGAAGTAGACGAAAGAGAAAGACGTAAAGAAGAACCAAAATGGAAATTTTGGAACTAAAAACTGCAGTAACCCAAATAAAAACCTCAGGTTGATACATTCAGCCATAGAACAGGGGGACAAAGGAGAGGATCACAAACTGGAGGAGAGAGAAAATAGACTGGGAGAAACAGCAGGTGAAGCCCCGGATACCCTGGAGACTCCACCAAGTGATAAACGTTTATTTTATCACAGGGAAGAAAAGTCAACAGGGCTGGGAAAGTAACTTGAGGTAGTCATGTCCAAAGAATTTCTTACGTTCGCCAAAGACAGGCACAGACTCAGGCCACTGGAAAGCACCCAATAGGGTGAGCCCCAGGAGACTCACCCACCAAGGCACGTGAGTAAGCTTCTAAAAAGGAAAGACAGAAACACCTGGAAGCAGTCAGAGCACAATGACAGCTCCCTGTTAGGAGAAGCACATCTGAGGGGCAGTGGGCTTCTCCCAGGAGCCGCGGAGGCAGAAGAAAGTGGACAATATTTTTCAGGTGCTCAGAACTGTCTGCTCAGAACCTCACGCCCAGGGAAGAGAGCGGCAGGTGCGTAGGGGAATCAGGCAGGTGCAGGAGAAGAACATCCCCACAGGCCAGTCGCGTTCCTTCTCCTCTGGCCTCTTCTACGCGGTGTGTGATGGTTTCAGTAAAAGTCATAGCAATTTCTCATGGTTGTAAATGCATATGGAGAAAAGGTTTAAGATAATTACATAAAGACAAAAAGCAAAGTGTCTCTACTTCATTTGAACTGGTAAGATGACAACACCAGTAGACGACAAGTCTTACCAACGTGGTTTTCAGCCACTGAGAACACTACCCAGAGATGGAGAGATAACAGCAAAAATCCAATTTTAAAAAATGTTAAGTGCCCACAGGAGGACAAGGAAAAGAAAATAATTTTTTAAATGGGGCTGGAGATGTGGCTCAGGGGTGAAGCACTGGGGCAGAAGAGTGAGGCCCGAGTGTGCTCCCCGGCCCTGCAAAAAAGGGAAGGGGGGGGACGGACCAAGTGAAAGGGCGGGCTGAAGCCCTAGCACATGGGTGACCGGGTTAATGCAGATGTGAAATACACCTGTTAAACTCACACCAATATAGCAATAGGCAGCCGGAAAGTAAAGGGTGAAAGGGTTATTAGGTAAAGAGTCCAAGGACAGCAGGTGGCTGTCCAGTACTGTAGGCTCCAGAGCAAAGAAAGTGACCAGAGACAGGGAGGATGTACAGTGAAGGGGTCAGTCCACCAAGAAGACAGCGATTGGAATCTGGGGGCTGGATGACAGGCTGCAAAACGTCAAGCAAAAACTGAAGAGCCGGGCGCACGCCTGTAATCCCAGTGGCTCGGGAGGCTGAGGCAGGAGGTTGCGAGTTCAAAGCCAGCCTCAGCAAAAGTGAAGCACTAAGCAACTCAGTGAGACCCTGTCTCTAAATAAAACACAAGATAGGGCTGGGGTGTGGCTCAGTGGCTGAGTGCCCCTGGGTTCAATCCCTGGTACCAAAACAGAAAACTTGCAGGACACAGCTGAAGCAGGGCTGAGAGGCCAGTGGTGGTGCTGAGGCACGTGAGGATGAGAGGGAGAACCTCCAGTCGGCAGCCCAGGCTCCCACCCGAGCAGCAGGACCAAGAGCAGGCGGAAGAAGGAGGTAAAGGAGAGAAATCCCTGAAACTGAAGACAGTGACGAGAAAGCAGGTCAGGGAGACAGGAAGCTAGCTCTTCGAAAATAAAAAGCAAAAGAATGGCAAACCTCCAGCAAGACTAAGAAAGGCAAAAGGAATGGAGTAGAGGCCTCACCACAGCCCCCGCACCAACGGACAGTGAGGGACGCCGCAGACAGCCCTGCACAGGACGCTGACAGCGCAGACACCGACCGCCTCCTCACAGACTAGGTCCACCCGCGCTCACGGTGAAGTAGGTCATTCAGGTCGCTCTGTAACTGCTTGGGAATCTACAAAGGCTACACGACAAAACAGGAAATCTGTAGGCCCACATGGTTTACCAAAGAATTCTACCAAATGTTTAAAGAAGAACTAATACCATTTTAATATACTGTCTTCCAGAAAATAAAAGAAGGAACACTTCCCAATTCATTTTCCAAAGCTAGCATTACCTGGATACCAAGACCCAAAACAGTACACAACATAACAAGACTACAGACCTCGATCTCTTGTGAATTCATGTGTACAAACCTTTGACAAAACGTTAACAAGTAGGGCTCAGCAGTGCACAGACAGAGTCCTGGATTGTGACCAAGGCAAGGTTATGCCAGAGCCCTACAGCAGCTTTCGTGTCCAAACCCAACCAGTGCAACCCACCACGTTAACGTGGGATGGGGAAATAAAAATAACATGGTCATATTTTATGCAGAAAAAACTTTTGTCATAATCCAGCATCCAAACCTGATGTCCACTCCCATGCCTGGGAGCAGAGCAGTGACACCTGCTGCTGACTCAGCTAGCACGGGAAGTTCTCATCAGTGCAAGAAAAAGAAGTCAAAGATGAACAGACCAGAAAGGAAGAGGCAAAACTGTTCCCAATCATGTCACAGGATTATGTAGAAAATCCTGAGAAAGGGACTAGAAAACTTCCAGAATTAACACAGCTAAATCAGAGGGCACAAGACGTCCATTTTAAAAATCTGTTTTTAAATTTTAAAATACCATGTACGATAAAATATATTCAGATATATGTCTAACAAAGTTTATAGGACTTGGGGGAGGATGAAAGATATCAAAGAAAATGTAAAGAACAGAGACACGCCATGTTTCTTTGGGAAGATGCAACCTAGTGAAGATGTCAGTTCTACCCAGCTTGATAGACAAGGGAATACAGCTTCTCAACAAATAGTGTCAGAACAGCTTTCATGAGCACGGCAGAAAGTCGATCCGAACAGAGAAGAGACAGTCACACGGGTGCCACGGGAGGTTTATAGTTGTTTGTCCTGGAGATCAAACCCAGAGGTTTACTGAGCTACATCCCCAGCCCTTTTATTTATTTTTTTTATTTTGACACACTGTCCTGCTAAGTTGTCTAGACTGGCCTCAAACTTGCCATCCTCCTGCTTCAGCCTCCTAAATTGCTAGAATGACAGGTGTATGCCACTGCAGCCAGCTCTAAGTGATCTATGACAAACACACACAGTTTAATATAGGAAATACACCTTTTCAAAAACAAATAGTGTCAAAACAATTAGGCGTCCACAGGCAACAAATGAACCTTGACCTAAGCCTCACACCTGACGAAATATCAACTCAAAATAGATGGTGAAATGTAACATAAAGATATAAAACTTTTAAGCCAGGTGATGTGGTAGCACATACCTCCCAGACACTTGGGAGGCTGAGGCAGGAGGGTAGCAAATTTGAGGCCAGCCTGGGCAACTTAGACCCTCACTCAAAATTATTTAAAAAAAAAGCTCAGTGGTAGAGGGCTTACCTAGCAAGCATCAGGCCCTGGGTTCAGTCACCAATACCATGCAAAAGAAAAAATAATAATTTAGACATCATTTTGCCATTATATATATTATATTTATATATAGATAAAACTTTAAGGAAAAAAACATGAAAATCAGGATCTAGGCTAGGCAGAAGATTCTTGGGCTTGACAGCAACAAAAGTACCCATAAGAGAAAGTTTATATAAATTGGACTTTACAAAAATTTAAGAATGCTCAGGAAAAGAAAAGGATTAGGAAGAGTAAAAATATTTCATGGTTTTCTTTGTGAAAGACCTTATTAAGAGGCCAAAAGTCAGTGTGCTTCAGAATGTCTTTTCAAATGAACTGATCTGACAGAGCACTAGTATCCAGAGTCCATAAATCACTCACCAGACTCTACAGCAAAAAGCAATGGAAAATGGACGGAAGACCTAAAAGGACATTTCCCCAGAGGACACACAGCAAAGAAGCCCATGAAAAGATGGTCAAGGCCTTAGTAACGAGTGGTGGTCAAGGCTTCAGTAACTTCAGATGCCTATCAAAGCCGTATGAGATGCCATCGCCACACACCTACCCAGACACAGGCGCTGTGGATGCAGGGCGCACCGTGTCGGCAGGCCAGCAGCAGCCTGCCGCAAAGGGTTAGGGACAAAACTTTAAATTAAGGAAAGTATGATGTTCTGTTTTTCTTGCAAGCAGGGTAGAGTTCTGATTCTGACATGCGAGCCACTGCTCCTCGGGCCCCTGCCCCGATCCTGCGCACGCACACCCGCCCAGTTGGCTCAGTGCCTACGGTGGTCTGTGTGGGCAGGATAAATGGGAACTTGGCCTGGGGGCTGGGGCCTGTTACTGGCACTGAGCATCCATGTGGCCCATGTTTAGGAAGATCATTTTGGTTTTGTTTGAATTCGATGATGTTCTTGGAGAAGGACTCCTTCCCAGGACTTTGGCTGATTCTGCATGATCTCTTATCTCCTACAGGACAGAGAACACTCCCATGATCGCCGGCCTCGGCAAGGTAAGCCTGGTGCCCTTGGCCAGAGGGGTCATACTGCCGTCACCTCAGCAGTGTTTGGAACCAAGGCTTCAGGGGGATGAGGTTCAGGACCCCATGAATGGACTGATAAGAAAAAGCCTAAATTTCATTCCTCAGCCTGGAGAACTGTGCCTTTGGAGATCTGTAGGGTGGGCTGCACCTGCTTAGGGGTTTTTTGTTTGTTTTGTTTTGGTTTGGTTCAAGGGATTAAACTAGGGGCACTTAACCACTGAGCCACATCCCCAACCCTTTTTATTTTTTATTTTGAGACAGGGTCTCACTGAGTTGCTCAGGTCTTTGCTGAGTCAAACTTGCGATCCTCTATCTCAGCCTCCCGAGTATCTGGAATTACAGGTGTGCACCACCATGCCTAGCCTGCTTAGTGTTTCAAAAAGTTCTTCTGATATAGCAATGATGTCCTTGCCACCAACAGTGAGGCCCCGGTTTACCTGTCCGGCAGGTGTATGGCTGTCCCTCACTGCACTGAGGCTCTGCCCAGCTGCCACTTTGAGCAGCCCTCCTTGAGCCACATCCCCTCACTGCCCCTCTGTCCCCTTATCCTGCCGTGTGTCCCCTGCATTTTAGATTATCTGTGTGTCTTGCCTTTCCCTGCCTGTCTGCCTCATTATCCCCAGACAGAAGAAAAGGTCGGGAAGAGTAAAAGAATTGGCTGTAACTCAGAATACTCAAAGTCATCATTTTTTTCTTCTTTTTTGGCCATGGGGATTGAACCCAGGAGTGCCTAACTCCTGAGCCCCAGTCCCAGCCTTTTTATTTTTATTTTGAGGCAGGGTCCCACTACATTGCTTAGGGCCTCACTGAATTGTTGAGGTTGACCTTCACCTGGAGATCCTCCAGCCCAGCCTCTGAGTCACTGGGTTCACAGGTGTGCACCACCACATCCAGCATTCATCTTTTTTAAAAAAAATTGTAAGATGTGTCAGTAATTCTGGGGTTGACTCCAAGCTCCGCACACAGCAGGCAAGTGCCCACCTTTGAGCTGCACCCGGCCGCCAGGTCCTGCCCTTCCTGGCGTTGTGCTATGGTAACCACAGCTGTTGGCGGGAGGAGTGAGCGCTGGAGGCCTGGCACCTGCTCGTTGATCCCAGTGACGCAGGGAGGCCTGTGGCTGAGAAGTGCCCAGGTCAGATCACAGGGTCACCCGAGAGGTCCTCAAGCCCTGGGTGTGGTGGCTCCCTATGTGAAGCCTCAGCTCGTGGCCCCCCAGCCTGTGACCTCACGCTTAAGGTTCATTGCACCCGCAGCTGCAGAGGTGCCCAGCTCGGCCTCAGCTCCATCTCGCTCCTCGGGTCTTGTCCAGGGTCTGGCCTCCGCTCGCCTGGCCAGCAGGGTCCTGGGAGCAGCCTCCACTCTGCCAGCCTCTCCTCCTCACGACATGCAGCTTCTTGCTCCTCTTCCCTGTGCCTTGCTGAAGGGATGGTGGCCTCTGCTGTGTTGTTCCAGCCACAGGGCTGTCCCCAGGCCCTGGGCAGCATGACACCACCCCTGGCCAGTGACACCACACCACGGCCCCGCCCCCTGCATTGTCTGCTGTCGGGTCCACTCCACACCTGCCCTGGTGGGCCTCACCTGCCCAATGACCATAGCTCAGGGCAGGTCCTCACCTTTCTCCAGGGACACCCAGGTCCCCTGATGCTGCACATTTTCTCAGGGTCCAAAATCTTCCTGGGTCCCTCCTGTTCCCCCCTCACCATGAGGCACCTCCTGCCATCCCCATCCTCACTTTAAAAGCCTGGGAGACCCCTTAGGTCTTTCCTGTCCTCATCTCCCGCATCTAACAGAACATCCAGTGCTGCCCTGGTCTAATCTCATGGCCCCCGGCCCTGGGCCAGGTCCTGCCTGCCGTCCCTGCACAGCAGCAGGAGAGATGTGGCCATCGGCCAGGTCACCTCGCCTCTGCCCCTGTGACGGCATTTGCCTGCAGCACTTCACTGGATCCAGCTCTTAGGGGCCCGTGAAGCCTGTCCCCTTGTCCACTGCTGCCCTCTCCTTTGGCACAACAGCCCTCCTAACTTAGGGCACACTCCTGCTCCCCACGGGGCTGTGGCTGGGGTGCTGCCCTCACAGCCATCTCCGTCCACCCCAAAGGCTGCGCGGTCCCTCCTGGGTTGCCTCCACGCAGGTCTTTCCCGTTCTGTTCCTCTCAGGAACACACATTCCTTGGGGTTGGGACCCTTCGTGACCTGTCTGCTGGGGCGTATGGTGCCTGGCACCAGCAGGGGGCGGCTATGGAGAGTGTGGAGCAGCACCCTCTCAGGAGGCCAGCGTGGTGGGCACTGTGGAGCTGATCTGTGCCCTTGGGCTGGGAGGTGTCGCTGGGCTCTTTAAGCCTTCCTGCTGTCCTTGGCTTTGCAATGACTGGGCTTCTCCTCAGTGTCACCTGTCTGTGTCTCCAGGCTGCTGAGATGGTGACTGAGAACTGCGAAGCTTATGAGGCGCACATGAGAGACATCCGCGACTACCTGGAGGAGAGACTGCAGGCGAGTGGGGCCACGCACAGTGCCGGGGGCTGCGGGAGGGGAGCATAGCAGGTCACGCGGAGAGAGGACTCAGAAGCAGAAAGCGAGCTCCAAGCAGAGGTCCCCAAAGAAGGACCCTGGCCAAGCAGACTGTCCTTAGGCAGAGGCACTCACACATGCTCAGAGTAGTGCGGTGTCCACCTTGGCTTCCCGTGGACTGCCCTTTGTCTTGCCTCCCCTGTGGTCCTGGGGATGGAACCCAAGGCCCTGCGTGTGCTAGGCAGGTGCTCTGAGCCGGGATCAGACCCTCAGCTCTCACGGTGGTGTTCCCCAGTGAGGTGAGTGGTCACTCGCTGAGACAGCTGCTGCCGTGGAGGAGTCTTTAAAGCCATCACCAAATGCTAGATTCCTTTTTCTTTCAGGCTGAATTTGGTAAGAGAATTCATTTGAACAGCCGGTTTCCAGGAGTCGAACGTCTTCCCAACACCTGTAACTTTTCCATCCAGGGACACCAGCTTCAAGGTGACTACCTGTCTTGCCCTGGCCCTCTTGATGTGTGTGGCTCCCGCACAGTGGGGCCACGTGGATTTGGATCCAGGACAGTGCCTCCCCTCTTGCTGTGTGCCTGGGTACCGCAGCTCGAGCTGTTAGCAGATTGCCAGGGGTGTGACTATCACGGGGCCAGGCTCTGAGAACCAGCCTGTCCCCTGGGTCAGCTTGTTGGTGGCTTCCTATGGCTCCAGACATTGGCAGCTTCGTTGCTGACCTTGCGCATTTTAGGAACACTGGGTGTGGATACTCTCAGTTCTCACATCAGCCATTAGCTGTTAGGGAAGCAAATAAAATCATCCATTGCTAAGAAAGCTCATCTGTTTTGTTAGCAATTTTATAGAATAATTTGAGAGGAAGAGAAAATAGAGGCAGTCATTTTTAACACCTGGCTAAGTGAGGGCAAAGTGCCCCTCTATGGGATTTGTTTATTCCTGTGACCTTCTCCCCCAGCCAGGAAGCGGGTAGTGTCCCTGCCTCCCAGAGGTGTGTACATCCTGGCCTCAATTCCCTGAGGTCCCAGTCCAGGGCCTGACCTGCCATGTTTCATGGGTAGGGGGTATGGTGGCCCAGAGAGCATACCCGATCACACCTGCACACTCAGTTGGACTTCACAGAAGGGGCTGTGGGTCTCTGTGGATCACACAGGGAAACTGGCCCTCCTGTTGGACTCGCAGACTCCCCTGGGTGCCATCAGTGTGGCAGCATGACTGAGAACTTGGCATTCCCACAAGCAAGGATGCAGGAGGCCACTCACCCTCTGCCACACCCCTTACCCAGGAGAGTGCTGTTCCTGGCCACCTCTGGGGCACTTTGTGCAGCGACTCTCCTGCAGCCACCCAGTAGCCGGTGGCTCTGAAGTCCCATGCTGTGGAACAGAGGGAGGCACCTGCCACCTCATCAAGGGGCTCCCAGGTGCTTCTACCCAGAAAGGAGGTGAACAGGTGACAACCCAGCAACAAGCCGTAAAGTGAGGTCAGAATCCCAGGGGTCCTGGAGGTGAGGGTGTGAAAGGCCATTTCCAAAGCCAGGCTGATGGGGCAGGAGCCTGCCCTTCTGCAGCCAGGAGAGAGGGGAAATGTTTTCACTGGGTGCTGCTAAATTGCCTGGAGGGACCAGGCCTGAGTGGGGAGGAGTGGGAGGAGTGGGGAGGGGTGGCACAAGCCCTGGGTCTCAGGCGCGTGCTGTCTTTGCAGGCTATGTGGTGCTTGCACAGTGCCGGACGCTGCTGGCCAGTGTGGGGGCTTCCTGCCACTCAGACCAAGGGGACCGGTGAGTGCTCGTGGCCACATCCAGTGCTCGGGTGGAGGCAGAAGGGACCGAGGGCTCTGGTCACCTGAGCAGCAGTCCTGCAGGGAGAAGGCCCATCCCTGGCTTGCTGGGGCTGTGGTGCCTGTAGGTAGGCGGAGCTGCATGAAGAGCCCGGACTTTCAGGAAAGCAGCCCTGTGGTGGCCACAAGTGGCCATTCAGGTCTGGAGCTAGTGGGACAGTACTAGAGAAGCAGCCCTGCCCCAACTGGCAGAGGAGGATGAGGACAGGAATCGGGTTAGCACCCAGCAGCAGGAAGGGCTACAGAGGGCTGGCATGGCCAGGAGGCTGGGGTGCAGCAGTCCAGAGCCTCCAGATCAGAGAGATGCAAGTGAGAGGGCAGGCACAGGGGCTGCCACTGATGGAGTCCTGAGGCGGCCTTGCTCTGGGTGCTCACCACAGCCCTGTGCTGAGAACCGTGGGAGCCTGTTTCTCAAATGAGGCAACTGAGGCCAGAGGCGGGGACAAGCTCAGGAGGAACAAGTGCCAGTGGTTCCTGAGAGGAGGCAAGAAGTAGGGTCCGCCCTCTGGTGACTTCTGTGTCCTGGCTCAGGAATTGAGGGTATCCCCCAGGAGGCAGTGGTGAGGTGGGGAAAGGGTTGGACTGACTGGGAGCCCCACAGCCCGCCAGGGCCTCGAGGGTCAGGGCGGGGATGCTGGTGGGGATAGCTGTGGAGGTGGCTTAGGGGCTGGCACTGTCCTTGGCTGACAGGAGGCAGGGGCCCAGCACACAGATAGACTCTTGTCCTGTCACTGTCCTCCGTGTGGTGCACGGAGAGGTTGGGGGAGGAGAGGCAGCCCTCGCCTGGGCCTGTGTGTGAGGACCTTGTTCCTGGGGCACTCGGCTGGCACTGTCCTGGTGTATGCGACCCATGAGGCGACCCTCAGTGCCCCTTGGTGGTCTTGAGGCACTGCACCCTGGAGCACTGGCGGGCTCTGGTGTGTGCAGAGCAGCGCCTTGGCCCAGGCGCCTGGGCGAGGCCTTTGCAGTCTCTGTCAGTACGGGACAGGGAAGCCTGGGGCCCTGGGGCTGCTCAAGGGGAGCCAGCGTGAGGGGCAGCACCACCCTCCTGCTGTGAGGGCTGTAGGGAGGCTCCTGGGGAGACCTTCACCACAGGTGGCTGGGGTGGGCTTGGTCCAGGGTGTCCCTAGCAGATGACGCTGAGGGCAAGGGGCGGGGGAACAGCCAGGCCATGGAGTGGGCATGGGGTTTACCCAGCCCGACCTGGGGGCTTGGCTGAGAGTAAAGGGCAGTGTGTCTTCCCTGAGTGGCATGAGCAGGAGACTGTCCTCAGGGGCCGCTGACGCTGTCCTCCTCCCCAGGCCGTCCCCAGTGCTGCTCAGCTGTGGCATCCCCTTCGATGTGGCCAGGAACGCGCTCCGGCTCAGCGTGGGCCGCAGCACCACCAGGGCCGAGGTGGACCTCGTTGTGCAGGACCTGAAGCAGGCCGTGGCCCGGCTGGAAGGCCAGGCCTAGTGCTGGGGCCGCCCTTGCCCTCGGTGGCCAGGACAGGGCCGTGGTCACTGCGCCCATAGGAAGCCCGTTGCTGAGCGCTCGGTGTCTGACTGTGCCTCTCAGCTGCGCCAGGGCCACACTTACTTCCTTTGATCCTCGCTGTCATGGAGTACCCAGGCACAGGGGTGTCCGTCCGTGTGCCTCCTCTCCTGAATGTGGGCTGATGCAGAGATGTCCTGCCCAGCCCAGCTCCTGACAGGCCCAGGACACCAGCACCCACGTAGGACTGTCCCATGGCGCTGCCAGAGGCTGTGTGGAAATGGAAACGCTTCTCCCCTTGTCCCTCTGGGCACTCAGGACTCCCGCCCTCCGAAGGCTGGCTTTATCCAAAAGATAAAATCCACTGCCAGTAAGCTGCTGTCAAAGATAGGAAACTATGGCACCTGCACCATGTGATGTGGCCTCCCCTGACCTCCGTGTGCAGTGACCCCCAGATGGGTGGTAGCTGCTGCTCTCGCCTCCCTGGCCCCACCATCATCCTGACGATGCCTTGTCCCCGTGGGACACCTTCCTGGCAGACAAGCATGGTCTGCCCTCATGGTTCTGTGGGCCCCTGTCCACTGCCCTGCCCAGTCCCCCTTTGTGCCCGCTTCCCCCTCTGCTGTCTTACTCAGGATTCAACTCCAGCGTCACTGCTGTGAGTGTGTGCAATTCCGGGTCACCCCGAGGTGGGGGCCAGGTCATCCCTGACTCTCCTTACTGTTTGCAAAAGATTTGTTCATCCTCACAGAATGTATGGCATACACATCAAATGCCAATATTTACATAGGAATAATTTTCAGAGAGTAACATTTTTAATGTGCTTTTAAGGTCCAAAGAACTATAGGATGATATTGAGGAAAGGATTATCAGAAATTAAATGAACTAATTAAAGATTTCCATGCCTACCTGGACATCTGTGGCTTCCTGTGTCTGTGACCTGTCCTCTGGCTACCCTCTGCCTGTGCCGTTCTCAGCGGCCGAGGGTGTCTGTCTGAGCCGACAGCAGGAACGTCATCCCAACCTATCATCTTAAAGTTGTGCTTTAGTCTAAGAAACGCAGCTTGGGATCCTGCTTCTGGGAGCCCTAGAAAGTAGATCCTGACCAGTGCCTGCCAACAGCCCTGCCAGGAAGAGACCTCGCTTGTCCTGACCTCCAGCAAAGACCCATGTAATGTCTAGACCCTTGATGAGAACACTCTGGAAAGAGGTGCTCATAATTAAGACTGCTGCCCCTGAAACTGGAGAGGGGCTGTGAGTCCCTCATTCTCACTTTGGAGACCCTCCCATCACAAAACCACCTGGACACACACTGAGTGTCACGGCCAAGGGCAGGACCTGTCTGTAGTGATGACATAGCACAGACACTTAGGCCCCAGGGGCAAATCACCCTTCCAGGAGAATTGGGAAGTGCCAGGGGGCCTGGCAGGGCAGGGCACAGCAGGTGCTCGGGAGCCCATGCTGTCTGTAACTGGAAACACCTCTAGATGCTGAGACTCGTCCTGCAGAGAAACCTGGTGTGCTTCCTCCTGCCTCACTGCAGGTGACATGAAGGCCCTGGCAGGAGGAGGAGGTTCCAGCTGCTGGGCAGGACAGTGTCTGGGCTAGGGCCAGGCTTCCCCTCGCTGGATGGCGCCCACCCTGGGCAGCCCTTCTCCCACTCTGTGTGCCTTCCACGCTCTGCAGCCCCAGGCACCTGGCCCTGGGGGACTGTAGGAGTGGCTTGGAAAGAGCTGGTCCCCTGGGCCTGCCCCCAGCCCTGCACCAGCCTGTTGCCACCTCCCATCTGCCCTGTGCTCTGCTTATCATGTAACCAGAGCCGGCAGCCTCATTCACGCCTGAAACAGGAAGCCCCGCTGGGCCTGTTCAGGAGCTGCCCCAAGAGCCGGGCCAGAGGATGGAGGAGCAGCAGGCAATAGTGGCCGCCAAGGAAGGGGATGTGGCCACCTTGGAGCGGCTGCTGGAGGCTGGCGCCCTGGGCCCAGGCATCACTGATGCTCTGGGGGCTGGGCTAGTGCACCATGCCAGCCGGACAGGCCATCTGGACTGCGTCAAGTTCCTGGTGCAGCGAGCCCAGCTGCCCAGTAACCAGCGGGCCCACAACGGGGCCACACCGGCACACGATGCGGCTGCCACGGGCGGCCTGGCTGAGCTGCGCTGGCTGGTCCGAAATGGAGGCTGCGGGCTGCAGGTGAGCAGGAAGGGGACAGCCGGCAGCCCGTCTCCAGGAACCTTGCTGGGGTGGAACAAGAGCAAGAGCCCAGAAGGCCCCATTCACCAGGCTCTGTGGCCCTGGGTTCTTTCTCAACCAGTGGCATCTGTCTGCCCTGTGCCCATCCCCCAAAACAGCAGAGAGCCCTCGAAGACAAGGCCACCTCCTAAACTGTACCAGCTCAGAGTAGCTCCTCAGGCTCTTCTGGCCATGTCTGGAGCACTTGGCCTGGCAGGGGAGGCTCCCCAGTGAGCAGGACCCCTGTCTGATCAGGCCTGAACAGCTGGGCTGTTTCTCAGAGGGCCAGAAACGGATCCAGGAAGAGGCACGGCAGAAACTTGGGCTCAGAGCTTCAGGCTCTGGTGGCATCTGCCAGGCTATAGGGGCAGTTTGAAGCTGTCATGGTGAGGAGAGGGCTCTCGAGTCTCAGGGACCATCCTGTCCAGGCACTTCCACCAGGGCCCCACCCCTTCCCTGCCCGCCCTGCCCTCCTCTGTGCAGGGGAAGGACCTTAGACCCTGGCTGGGTTCTTGGGAGCAAGCCTTAGTGCCCCACCCAGTGGTCGGCAGTGGGTGGCCGGGAGCTCCTAGGACCTGGGGGAGGAAGACGTGTCAGGGCTCCTCTCGGCACCGAACTCTGCTCCAGCCTCGGCACAGATTCTCCTCAGCTTCTGATAACCCAAGGGCAGCAGGCAGGAGCTGTGTCGATTCCAGATTCACTTCTGCTCACCCCCGGACACCCACGGCTGCCGAACGTGCCACACCTGAGGTGGAAAGGCTCCTTGGCCTTGGAGACCTATGGCAGGGCAGGGAGGGAGGAGCAGAGGCCCAGAGACAGGGGTCCTGGACACTCCCGGCAGGCATACTGGGCAAGTAGGCTGCTTCCTGACCTGGAGCAGAGGGCTCAACAGCCAAAAGGCGTACAGGGCCTGGACTGGGCAGGATCCCAGGATGTGACCCTCGAGCCTCGACTTGAGTCTGAACCCTGCCTCTCTGGGAGTAGGACCCCCTCAGTCCCAGCAGGGGACCCCTCCATGGAGGGGAACGGAGGAACGTGGGAGGAAACGGGCTCCTGGGCCAGGGCTGTGGGTGGTGTGGGGTCCTAGCAAGTCCAGCCTTGAGCAGCTGACTGGCCGTGTGGCACTGCCTGGCAGGGTTGGGTTGGGACTTGCCACCGGCCTGCTCCCTGCCTGTGCCTCGGTAGGACCAAGATGCCTCGGGCGTCTCCCCGCTGCACCTGGCTGCCCGCTTTGGACACCCGGCACTGGTGGAGTGGCTGTTGCAGGAGGGCCACGAAGCCACACTGGAGACTCTGGAGGGCGCGTTGCCGCTGCACCATGCCGCTGTCAGCGGGGACCTGACCTGCCTGAAGCTCCTGGTGGCCGTCCACCGCAGGTGAGGGCCTGGGACTGGAGATGAGCAGAGAGAGCACAGGGGGCTCAACAGGGCGTGGGCAGGACCTTCATCCTGAGGCACAGCAGGTCAGCAGCGCTGACGGGTCAGTGAAGACAGCCAGTTGCCTGAGCAGAAAACAAGCACCTGGTGTGGGCAGCTGGGCACCTTTGTGGGCACCTGAAGGGAGCAGAGGTTGTTTAACTAGGAGGCTGGCCTGGGTTTGCCTCTACACTGTCCATGCCAGACACTAGGAACCTCTCCTGCTGGTGGCCAGCTGGCCACCTCAGAGACCTGTGCCCACCTGCCAGGATTGGTGACTAGTTGGTGATGGCCCTTTGCCCATCTTTGCCCAGCACGGAGGGTCACAGTTGTCATGGTGACGGGGCAGGAAAGAAAGAGGCACCCAGTGTGTCCCTTCCTTCCCAACCAAGAAGCCTGCCCTCTGCCTGTGCCCCCACCCCCGCCAGGAGCTTTCTGCTTGTCCATCTTGTTTCCCAGGGACAAGCCAGGATAGCGCAGCTGAGAACAGTGTCCTGTTTCTGTCCCATTGTGAACAACCTGGAGAGTCTGGGTGGGCTTCCAGCTGTTCTTCGGAGCACCCACATTGCCCCAGGCCTGCGCAGCTTTTAAAGCGGCTTCCAATATTGAGCTGGGTGACTTCACATCAGCACATACACGCATACCGGCATGCACACACACACATCACCACATACACACAACTGGGAGTGTCCTGTCCCACCGGGCACTCCCACTGGGTACTGACTGTGGGGGCAGATTTGCAGAACCAGGCCATGTGCACACTCCGGCAGCCCCAGACCCACTTTCTGCACCACCTGCCTGCTCCTCGGCCACCATGCTGGACACTGGCCTGTTCAGCCCTGGTGGGAGAGCTTGCCCCAGGAGGGCACCAGCGCACACTCAGCCCTTTGGAACTCCCCTCAAGTCACGCTCAGGCTCTGTAGTCCAAGGAAGGAGCCCTGGATGGGCTGAGCAGGTACACAGTGGGTCCAAGACCAGGGCTGTGCCCAGGGTCCTGGGCACCTTGCTAGGAGCTGAGGCTAGTCCTGGCAGGAACTTTACTAGGGGAAGGAGGTTCAGATCCCTAGGCTTTTCACTCAGCTGAAGGCTGTGACCAGACCCTCTGCCACTTAGGGGGAAGTGGCCCTCTGGGGTGGATCCCAAATTGCTCAAACTCATCCATTCTGCATGGGGCTGATGGTGGGCACTCTTGAGAGCGCCCCCTGTCCAGCAAGCGCCCTGGCTCAAGGCCCTAGAGGTGGAGGACCTAGGACAGAGCCAGGCTGGGACAGAGCTGGGGCTTGGGTGAGAGAAACAGAAGGAGAGCAGAGGAGCCCAGAGTCCCACGTCCAGGTCTCCTGCCCTCCACCAACCACTGTGGCCCTGGCAAGCACACTCCCAGGGCAGCGCGAGGCCCCCAGCTCAGCCTCAGCCCAGCTGCCTCACCCTCAGGGCTGCGCAGTGCAGGGTGCAGGTGCTCAGAGGCAGAGGGGAGCCCTTGGGGGGCTCGGGGGTTGACCGAGGGTTGATTCCATCTAAGACTTGACCACCTCGAGTCTAAAAAGATTGATTTTATAACCTGCCCCCAGGTGAGGAAAGAAGGGAAGGGACAGCCATGCCCAGCCACCTGGGGAGCCCAGCCAGGGGCAAGGACCCCCAAACCCTGGGGCAGCAGCTGGAAGGAGTGTGGAAACTCAGTATGTAATGGCTAGGGCCAGAGGTCCAGGGGTGCAGTGTGTCACCAGAGGATGGGCTTGGCCTTGGTAGGGGACTGGCCCTCCCTGCAGCTGGCTGGGGGGGACGTGCCTGGCCCAATGGCAGTGTGGGGGCAGAGTGGGTTTAGGCGGATTCTAAGACGCTGCTCGGCCCATCCTCACTGGGGACAAATGTTGGTGCCAACCCTGGGTATGCAAGGCTCCTGTGCTATTCATGGTGGCCCTTGGCTCCCGTGGTAGCCCATGGCAGCTCATGGTTAAGGGGCTGCCAGCCTTAGGCCCCACTGTGCTAGCCAGGCCAGTATCGCCCCTGCCAGGGGTGAGGAGTGCAGCCGGGAGTGGGCTCAGCTGTACCCCATGAGCCAGCTCCCGGCCCTCCCCATCTTGGACAGCACAACCTTGTAGCTCTACAGGTGATGGGGAGGAGATGGACACAAGCAGGTCAGAGGCTGGGCTTCGCCTCCTCTCCATCTTGCCCTGCCCACAGCCCCTGGCCAAGCTCCCTCTGAACCCTCCCTCCCTGCAGCAGCGTGAACCACAGGACTCGCAGTGGTGCCTCCCCCCTCTACCTGGCCTGCCAGGAGGGCCACCTGCACCTGGCCCAGTTCCTGGTGAAGGATTGCGGAGCCAACGTGCACCTGCGTGCCCTCGATGGCATGAGTGCGCTGCATGCCGCTGCTGCCCGCGGCCACTACTCGCTCGTTGTCTGGCTGGTAAGGGGGTGCAGGGCTGGGGAGGAGGACGTCCAAGTCCACGGGCCTGCAATAAACAGGGCCTGAGGCTCCACCGGGAACGGGGACCACAGGGCAGCGGGGCATCACACAGGCTCCATGGCTCTGACCAGAGGCCTCCAGACCTGGGCCCCAGCAGTGGGTCTCCAGGGTGCGCTGGGGTTGGTGGCACCCCAGGTGCTCTGTCACCAGTGCCACAGACAGTGCCTGGCCTGGGCACCTTATCTGTTAGTTCAGGCCCACTGCCTCCAAGCCCTAGGCCAGTTCCCCTTCCTAGAAGGGAGGCCTGAGCCCCACAGCATGGAGACAGTGGGGATGACTCCTGCAGGGAGGGCAGGGACCTCCATGCCACAACAGAATACCAGCCTGGCAGGGTTGTCGGGGAGCTCTGAGGGTCTATGGGAGACCTGATGGATCTCAGGGGAGGGAGGGCCTCACCAGGGAGGTGGCAGTGGGGGCACAGCAGGAGGCAGCTGGGCTGGGCAGGGCCCAAAGCAGTTTCCTGGAGAAGGGAGCACCTTACCCGTGGGCCTGGAGATGGACTGGGAGGGCAGCCTGGGCTCCCCACTGAGGGTGCTAGAGAACATTGAGGTCTCTGAGCTGATCTGCTGGCGTTCCAGAAGGCCACTCTGGCTGCTGGTGGAGAGGGGAGAGCCTGCTGCTAAGACTTCCCACGCTCGCCCCTCCCACCCTCCTCCTCTGCTGCTCCTGCCCCAGCTGCCAGCTCAGGGCCTTTGACCAGGCTGCACCTTGTGCTTGTTCAAGTTGGCCTCGTGTCCCCCAGGTCATCAAGCCTGATCATGTAATGTCAGGGACCTTCTACCCCCTGGAGAGTACCCTCTGGGAGTCCTGGAGGGCCAGGCCTTTGTCCATCCCCTCATCCCCTGTGCCTGGAGCAGGAGGCTGGGGCATGTGTACTGATCAGTGGACAGACCCGGGAAGGAGCAAGGATGGCCCCAGCCTCCCTGGCAGCCTGAGGCAGCCCTGGTGCTTCCCTGAGGGAGTGTCACCCTGGGGAGCGGGGGTGGGACCCGGGTTCTGCTGCACGGCTCTCCACACATGGCCCCCCTGGTGTCCCCGCCTGTGGCCTCACTCCATATGAAGAGCCCCAAACATGCTGTCCCCTCCCTGGGCCTGCTCCAGGCTCCCACAGCAAGCCTCAGGGCTGCCATGTCTGCCACATGGACGTGACCCGCAGGCTGTGGGGGAGAAGCAGCTGTGGTTGGGGTGGTGGGTGCCATGGGGGCAGGAGGGGGGCACTCACAGAGGCTCGCAGACTGTGCTGCTGGAGCAGCCGGTCCTGGGTAAGCAGTGGCCCGGGCCGCGGGGTTCTCCAGGTGGGAAAGTGGCTGGGCTCCGCCTCGCACGCTCTCCCTGGGTTGCGGGGACGGCCTTCAGGGTCCCTTTCTCTAACACACACTGGATTGTGGGGTCCGCCAGGAACGCCTGGGCTGCAGGCCTCCCACCCCATAGGGGGAAGCAGGGCAGGGACTGGCGGCCCTTCTTGGCCCTTTCCTCTCGGGGAAGTTGGCCACGTTCAAGGTAGGAGGAGGGTGGAAGGAGGCACCACGGCCTAAGGAGGCAGAACCTCCTGCGGCCCACCCTCTCTGGGCGTCTCCCCTGCCAGACATACATTCAGCATGTCACCCTGTAAAGGGCTGGCATGGCTGTCGGCTGGGACAACCCTGGGAGGCGCCTGGCTGGTGCTGTGGACCAGAACCCACGACACCCTTTCAGGGGACAGGCGAGGCTCCAGAGCAGGCCTGGCCTCAAGTCACCCGTGTGCTTGTCACCAGGCTCCAGGCCAGGCTGGGAGGGGTCCCAGCACCGGCTCACCTAGCAGCATCCTCATGCTGGGCTGTGCCCGGGCTGCGAAGCCCGGAGGATGTGGTGCTGCCCTTACCCGAGGATGCCCTTCCTCGCTGCTCCCTTCACCAGCAGCCGTTCACACATTGTCTGTCCCCTAGGGGCCAGATGTGGCACTTTTTCATGACATTTGGTTTAAGACCTGGGACTGTGGGGTCTCCAGATAAAACCACTGCAGCGCGTGTCCCCACCTCACCCTGGACGCCATGCTGCCCTAGGGTTGTGGCCATGTGATATAAGCCAGCTTGTCCCAGGGCTTCCTGGGAAGTATTGCCCCCACCTCCAGGCCTAGCTGAAGGTCAGCTCCCACTTTTGCTCTGAGCTACCCCATGTCCCTCCTCTCTGGAAGTGGTCACTCCAGGCTGGCCTCTGCTGACCAGCCCATTCCCTATGGCACTTCTCTGCAGGTCACATTCACAGACATCAGCCTGACCACACGGGATAATGAGGGGGCCACCGCCCTGCACTTCGCTGCCCGCGGAGGCCACACACCCATCCTAGACCGGCTCCTGCTGATGGGTGCCCCGATCACGAGAGACTCTTGGGGTGGGACGCCCCTGCACGACGCAGCAGAGAATGGGCAGATGGAGGTACCACGTGTGGCAGGAGCTGGGGCTGGGGCGGTGCAGTGAGCACTCAGGAGGGCTTGCTGACACCTTCCCGAGTGTGTCACAGAGCCCTCTGAGCCCTGCGGAAGTGTCATCCTTGGCCTTTTGCAGATGGGTAAACCGAGGTTCGGGTATACAGCATGTGTGCAAAGCCACGTGCCCTGGTCTCCACACCTCCTGCACATGTGCCCTGCCCCTTGCACAGAAGTCCCCTGTGGCCTGTCCCAGGCTGCTTGGTGGCCTGCCTGGGGCAGCCCTCGGCCCACACCAGGTTGTGAGTGGTTAGAAGCCTGAAGCCAACTGCTTCCCTGGCTGGGTCTCAAGAAAACCACCTGGGGAGCCCAGTGTTGCAGAGGGGTCACAATGTCCCTGCACTGGTACCTGCTGCAATGCCCTCTTTCCAACACAAGTCCACACCCAGGGCAAAGCACAGCTCCCTCCTGGTCCCATTGGGGCCCCAGCCACACCGTTGCCTGCTCAGATCTGATCACCGCCATGGTGTCACTTGGCTTCCCGGTCATTCTGAAGCCCTGTGGCTGGGGCAGCTGAGTGGAGAAGTGTCAGATCCTCCAGTCCCTCCTCCAGCCCTGCCCTCTAGTCCCCCCCCCTCCACCCCCCCCTTTCTCCCCCCTCCAACCCCCCCTCAAACCTTCCCCTCCAGTTCCCCCATCCAGGCCCTCCCATCCAGGCCTCCACTCCAGCCCTCCCCTCTGCCCCCCATCCAGCCCCTCCCCTCCAGCCGTCCCTCCAGTCCCCTCCAGCCCTCCCTCCAGTCCCCTCCAGCCCTCCCCTCCAGCCCTCCCTCTTCCCAGCTCCCAGCAGCACTGCTCTCCACCCCTTGGGCCCCAGGCCTCCTCTCACTCCTCAGCCCTTCCCGACTCACACACAGCTGACCGTCTCCCAGCTCTGTCCCTACCTAAGCAGGGACAGGAAGCAGGGCAGCTCTGGCCTGAGAAGAAGCCTGCACCTGCAGCAATCCTCCTCCTCCACCTGAGAAGACTCTGCAGGAGGGAAGGGGCCAGCTTAGAGGCTGGGGGAAGCAGAGGTTCTGTGGCAAGGGTCTCCACTCAGATCTGCTGGGGAGGGCCACGTGTCCCCTTCAGGCGGCTGAAGCAGGAAGGGCTCGGACTGAGTTCTGCTGTGTGGCCCCAGCCCCCACAAACCCGGCTGCTCACCAAGGGAAGGTGACCAGGACACTAGTGTCCAATTATTTCCCAAGCAGCCGATCTTTCTGCAAATGAAATAGTCACGGGGAGGCCAGGAGCCCTGCAGCTCCTGGGGGAAGAGGAGAAACCCAGGCTCAGAGCAGAGCACTCCTTCCTAAGACCTTCATGGTGGCACACAAGCCAGGGTCCTCAGCTCACCAAGCTCCTTCCCGCTCCGGCATTATCTGAGAGCAAATCAGGGACATCACAGGGTTTCCTCCACAATACCAAAGCCCTGAGCCACGTGTACCTCTTGTTTAAAAATCACAACCTGGATTATTCTGTCTAAAATCTAGCAATAATTCAAGTATCATCTACTGCCCAGTCCAGCGTCTCATGCCCGCTCCCTGACTGTACAGCAGGGCCTACGCAGGGTGGCGTGTGTGGGTGGTCTCTCTTTGCTCCCTGGACCCTCTGTCCAGGATGGGGGGGTCATGCTCCTCCCCCACCTGCCAGGTGAAGCATGTTCTTACCTTAGAGCAGCTCAGCAGTTTCAGGTGTGCATAGGACGTGAGGAGACAGCACAGAATGCCCGCGCCCAGGCCATTCCCCAGTGCCACTGACTTCCATCCACACAGGACACTTGTCACAATTAGTGAACCGAAATTCATATGGTGTTATTAGCAAAGTCCACACCCAGATTTCCCCTCAGCTTTTATCTAATGTCCCTTTTCTGTACCAGCACCTCACCCAGGACGAAGGACATTGAGTCAAGCCTCCTTATCCCCCGGCCAACTGTGACTGTTTTTTCTTTTTTTTCCATTTAAAAAAAAACAAGACTTCAAAATAATGAGCTAATGTCCCTGCGACCATGCTGGGGACAGTGGTCTTTTTGATGTTTCACTATGTCGCTGTCTTTTTCCTTTGAGTGCTGCAGTTACCCTGACTACTCTTTACAAAATTTTTAATTGCAATTTAAAAATACTCTCGTCCACCATCTGGAGGTCCAGGGACACTAAACACGCTCTGGGGCAGTGCAGCAGATGGCCAGGGCCTCCTCCCCTTGCACGACCGAGGCTCTGTCCCGTGAAGCCCCTGCCCCTGCCCGGCAGGCCCGCCTCCCTTCCTGGTGCTCATCCTGGTGTCTGGTGTGCTTCACCCAGCATAATGTCCTCGAGGTCCCTACTGTGGATCGAAGGTCAGAGTGTCCTTTTCAAGGCTGAGCAGTGCTCCTCTGTGTGGCTCTGCTGTTCCCTTGGTCAGCCATGGTTGAGCCAGAGCCCCCTCCTGACTGCTGTGGACGTGGGATGCAGGGTCTCCTGGGGACCTGTGCTGGAGCGGGCCGCACTGACGGCTTCCTCAGCTGAGGCCAGCCCTGGCTCCGGTGGTACGTCCACTGGTCGTGATGGTTGCTGGACTTGCAGCTAGCTTTCCTTTGCTGGCGTTTTCTTTAGGATTTTAGTCTTTGGGAAATTTGGGTTTTATTAGACTTATTTCTTCTTTAAATGTCTGGTAAAACTCGCTAGTGAAGCTATTTGGATCGGCATTTTCTTTGAAAGAAGGTTTTAAATAATTCTTTGTATTAATTATAAAATCCTGGGTTTTTCGTGTGTGTGTGTGTGTGTGTGTGTGTGTGTTTTGATTCAGTAAATTATATATTTTTTGGCTTTATTCCTAGAAATTTTTCTGGGAACTAATTTCATCTAAGTTGTCCGACGCAGAGGACAGAGCTGTTTGCGATGACCCTCCTCATCCTCTACTGCGGGAGGGGCTGCGGGTTCTTCTTTTTCCTTCCCGATGATCTGAGTTACTGCTTTTCTCATTTCTATCTTGGTCAGCCTCACCCAGAGACTATTTGGTGTTTAGTTCTTCAAACAGCCAGATTTGGCCCGTTCTGAGCCGCTAAGGCACCGCTCCCTCTCCTGTGCATCTGTCCCCTGCCTGGCTGACACCCACACTCACCTTCAGCCCTCTGCCCCCAGGGCTGGGGCTGGGTGCTCCTTGTGTCTCCACGTTTCCCCTTTTCTATGTGCTTGCTTAAGGATGGGGACCTTGCTCTAAGTCCTGCTTGACTGCACCCCACAGTTTCATAGTTTCTTGGTTAAGAATGTTTTCTAATTAATTCCCTTTTTGACTCTTCTTTGTCCCCAGGAATTACCCACCACTCTTTCTTAATTCCCAACCACAAGGGCTTTCCAGCTAGCGGTTTGCTATGGATTTCTTCTTTTTTAGTTGCAGATGGACACAATACCTTTATTTTATCTGTTTTTATGAGGTGCTGAGGATCAAACCCAGGGCCTCACACACACTAAGCCAGCGCTCTACCACTGAGCCGCAGCCCCAGCCCCTGCTATGGAATTCATTCGGTTGCAGTGTGGTCAGAAGGTGTACTCTACGGCTATCTGTTAAGGGTGTTCTTCAAATCTGTGTACACAAAAACTCGTGTGTGTTGGATCTCCAATGGGTTGAGGGAGATGTGTTGAAGTCTGGATTGTGAGTTTGTCTGGGTCCCCGGAACCTGCCCTGTGTTGGGCATTTCCTGAAGCCCATCTCATCTGCCCTCCTGCTATGGCTCTGCAGGCTTCTCTGTCCCTCACTGGCCTGGTGAGCCTCGTTCCAGCCTTTCCTCTGGGCCTTCTGAACCCCCGCCTTCCTCTTCTTCTCTAAGTGTCTGGCGCCTGTGCCCGGGCTGGACATGGGCAGCCTTCTCTGAGTTTCTTGCGGTTCTGACGTCCAGCTACTGTTCATCTCACCCACTCACAGTCAGTGAGTTACTAATATTTAGGGGTTAATTTTGTTCTCTCCTTTCTCCTTTCTCATTGATGGTCCTTTTCCTTCTGTGTGAATTTGGAGAAGGCACTGGGAGGGGAGCTCGGGGGTTGGGGCTCCAGGGGCAAGCGAGGCCAGCAGGACGTCCTTGGTTGTGTTCCTGCAGGTAGGGACCCGCCGCTCCGTCTTCTCTGGATTTAAAAGACCATCTCCTGCTATTTCCCTCCACCACACTGACATTGAATCTCTTTGTGCTTTTCGTGACCGCCCTACCTCTCGACTGGAACCCTAGCCAACTGAATCTGAGGTGAGGGCTCTGCGGCCATCTCCACACCAGACTCCTCACAGTCGGGCTGGCGAGAACCGCAGGCTTTGCTTGGAGCGGGTGTTAAATGTATATTTGAGGTCAAGTTCATGCCAGGGAACTTACCATTTAAAGTGACAGTTCCACGGCCCTTCTCACAGGGACACTTGTGCAGCCAGCGCCTCTACCTAGTCCCCAAACATCTTCACCCAAGAGGAACTCCTGTGTCCAGGAAGCAGGCTTCCCTCCCCCGCAGCCCTGCAGCGCTGCTGCCCTGCTCTGCTTCCCGTGTGTGGACTGACTTGTGATGTCTCCCACAAAGGGAATCCCACCACGCCTGGCTGTCGCGTGCGTGTTTTCAAGGTTCACCCACGTCAGAGCAGGTGTCAGAACATCTTTCTTTTGGGGGGCTAAATAATACCCTATTTTTGTTACCCATTCATCTCTCTCTCTCTCTCTCTCTGGTACTGGGGATTGAACCCAGGGGCACTCAACCACTGAGCCACATCCCTCAGCCCTTTTTATTTCTTATTTTGAGACAGTTTCTTGCTGAGTTGCTGAGGACCTCTCTAGTTACTGAGGCTGGCCTTGAACTTGCTATCTTTGCCTCCTGAGCCGAGCAGCTGGTAACTCAGGCATGGGCCCCGCACCGGGCTCCATTCATCTCCTGGTGGAATTTTAGGTGCTTCCTCTTTTCGACTGATGACAATACTACTGCTATGAATATTCATGGGCAAGCTGTTGCTTGAATCTTGAAGTTACAC